CATTCCACCCATCTAAAGCTTCAATGTTGTTACTTTTGCATACCCGAACTTCAAAGTCTTTTTTCTCAGCTTTGTTTTTTTCAGCATATTCTCCGGCCAGGAAGGCTTTTTGATTCACTTGCGCTCAACCGATTTTCATAAACTTGGTACTATTTTTTTTGGAATGAATTGGACTGCAAGCTAAAGCTATTTTTATTATGATATTTTTTGGTACATAGAACTGGCGGTTCATTATTAGCCATTGTTATAGCCTCTATTGTATGTCTTCTGTTCACTTTAATTTTTTATGAGATTTTATGGTGCTATAGAAATAAAAATAGCTTTAGCTTGTATGACATTTCTTTAGAAAGCAATTGATACCTTTTTTTTATTAAAATTTTAATAAGAAGGTCATTAAAAACTTTTCCTGAAATTAGCTAATTAATATTTTATTTTGTTAATAACTTTTCACAAAAACGAGATATCTGAAATCTGATAGCAGTTATGAAATCAGCACAATAAACTGCATGCATGTGCCAAAAATCTTTAAGATAAGCCAATAAACAAAAAAAAAGTTTTGAGAACCCACTTCCTCCCTTAAACGGAACTCGAAGGGACAGAAAAATTTGTTCCGTTTATCAGAAGTTTCATTAAAGCAAAGCACATAAAATGAGTGAAATATGACTTTATTTCACAAGCATGATGTCCAGCTAATGTAGCTGACTAGAAAAAAGAGGTAATGGTAGTTTGTTTTGCATTTTGTAATCGCTTTTTGACGAAGTAGGTGTGCATGCCTTGGAGGTACAAAGGTTTCTGTTGACTGCTGCACCTTCCCCAGAAATAGTCTTAAAGACTAGGCCGTGGCGCTTTTTAAAACGGCTGAGCCAACCGTCGCTCATTTTGAAGTTATCTATTCCCAACTGAGACGCAATCTCTCCAGCCTTTTCTTCGAGGATGGGGCCGCTGATCGGGAAATTAGCACTTCGCGCGCGCTTAAACCAGAGAAAAAGGACGTTCTCTATTTCCTCAAAAGGCGTCTTTCGCATCCTCCTTCGGTCGGTGGCAAAGCTTCCGCGCTTTACAGAGTCTTGAATCTTTTCTTTGTCCTTTGATATCCTTGAGAGTGTAGACTTCGGGATATCGAACTTCCTTGCGATCTCCGTCTTCGAGAGGTCACCACGATCCAGCTCTTGAAGGATCTTCATTTTCGTAGCAAGCGAGATCGCTTGGTGCGGCCGCTTTTTTACCGCTTCCATCACAACACGGCAAGCGGACGCTGGTTTGTGTACTCGATGGTAAACGTGACGCGCAACAGACGAGGCGCTAACCCTAATGGCGGTAGAAAGACTGGATTGGATTGCCTTAATATAATGGTCACCTAGCCTAACAACTTTTTTTTTTTTTATAATAATATTTGTATAAATTTTGTTCTAACACAACCCCTTTTCCTTTAAAGTGTCCTCAGTCTTGGCTATTGCGTACTCCATGGTTGTGAGACTGCTGTAGCTATTTCCGATGTCCGCGGTCGCCATGGGTAGTTTCGGTTTCGGTCCCGTTTAACCGAAGTAAGCAAAAAGGGGGGTTCCGATTACCCGAAGAATTTATCATTAAATACATAGGAAACCAACCGAAACAACCTTTAGAGTTCCGTTTATCCGAATTTTCCGTTTAAGCGAGTTTCGTTTAATGGGAGTCCACTGTACATTGTGCACAGACAATCTGCATTAAAAAATACAAAACACCAATATACCGTATTTACTCGAGTAATAGCCGCACTGTTTATGAAGAAAACCTGAGGGTTCGCATTTCCACGGAGCATGCGGCTTGCAAGTAACCGCGATCGGCAGCATGATTCAAGCGGTTTGCAGGAAAGAGATAACGTCTTCGCGTGAAGATACCAACTCTGAAGATTGCATTTGTATGGAGAATCGTGTTCTCAATCTAGTTATTCGCTATGTTATTTATGCGCAACGCAATGTGTGTTCTGCGGGAAAGCAGACGCAAGGGCCTTGTTCGTACCGTATTTACACGAATGTAGGTCGACCCTTTTTTCAGTTTTTTAAAAGTTGAAGTGGGGGGGTCGACTTATAATCGAACCAAAGCATTCCACCGCCGGCAAAAACGAAACAATCACGATATCATGAACACTTCGCCTTGTTACGAGTTCAGCCGGCTGTACCTCTAGCATTGCACTATTCTGTGCCCTCATTTTACAAATTAATTATTTTTTTTATTTGCACGAACGAGTATTACTGATGGCGATTCGCAAATAAACCCGAAGATATACGGCGGTGAACAGCGCACGGCGCGCCCGACTCCCGGGGGGTGGCAGCACTTCTTGTAAGAGCCACTCGGGAGGCCGCTGGAACAGCCTCACAGCTCCACTCACCCCGCAGCTTCTCTTCGCAGTTTTTCGCGCGATTCACGGTCGCACATCGTTTGATCGAGTGGCGAGATCATGCTGGAGCGCCATCTACGTTTATTTTGTATTGACACGAGTGATCCGAGCGGTTTAGGTTTTCGGTGCTCGTTTATGGCCATTCTTCACTCAGAAGCAACCAACAACTGCACTATTGGACGCAAGTTCGACCCGTCGGAGCGGGTGATGCTCCAGAGGAGTCTGCAGTGGCGCGGGATGTTAAACTGTGACGGCAAACGAAGAGGCTTCCGTAGGCCAAAGTCTGGATAGGTGGGGATGCCTTCCAGAGTTGAAGGTCAGGCTTGCAACACACGGCGCAAAAGTGGGCAATCGGTCCCTACCCGTGACGTCCAGCACAATCGCCGAGCAAGCGCGGAAGATGCGGTTGATGCTGTCATTTTCGAAGTGCGAGATTTTGTTGGACGCCGCCGCCGACGAGCTTCGAGAACGTGGCAGTGATGATGACGGGACTGCCATCACCAGTGCAAACGAGTCGTAGTCTAGTCATGGTCTAGTCGCGAACAGAGTGAGAACGACAGCGAGCAGCTTCAGTTGTCCCGCCTCTAGCGTGAACTTCCTAGTTTCGATAATGCCTGGGAATCTCATGCACCTCGCGCGTGCATGCCCAGCCAAAGCACGCCAGAAGGCATCGATCGCGTGCTGGAGGCTCGGCTTTCGAAACAGATACTTTGCTGTTCTCACGTGCTCGCAATAAAATGCGCATCTAAATTTTTTTTTTTTTTTTTTTATGTGCAATGTGGGGGGGTCGACCTAGAATTGAGTTGACTTACAATCGTGTAAATACGGTAAATAGTGCGGCTATTACTCGAGTAAATACAGTACAACATGTTTAAATAGAAAAAAATACATAGAGCGCAAGATCCGAAAAGCCCATATTCGAAACAGTAGCCACAAGAAGCTGCGAAACCAGTGTGATGAAATCACCAAATATTTGCCATGTCAAGTGTTTTTAACGAGAAACATTCTTTGGCTAGTTGCTCCGGATTTCGTGAAGCCACATTTCGTGAAGCAGTGGCCTCTGATGTCACGACTTCGGTTTCACCACTAGATTTAGCGGCAAAATTGATATCACGTAACCTCAATGCCAATTCAGTTAGCACGCTAGCGGGAAAATAATGTCGCAGGACTTCATGTCAAGTGACCTATATACAAATTCAGTTTCTTGCTAAATTTAGCAGAAAAAATGATGTCACGTGACCTATACTCAAATTCAATTTCCCCGCTAGAATTAGCGGGAAAATTGACGTCATGTGATCGGCCGCAGCCCGTCATTCCCCATAGACTGTGGACACAGGCTCAGAGTATCACTATGCATTTGTGAAGCAAGAACGTTTCCTGTATCCCAACAGAATTGCCTAGCGATTCGCCATACAATTTTGAATGCGTTTGAACGCTCATTTTGACGAAAACCGGGCGGTGTCTTTCGTTTGTCAGTTATCGCGTGCGACACTCCCGTTGGTACGAAGTGCTGAAGTGAGCACTCCACGGCGCTGACAAACTGACAGACATCGCCAGGTTTTCGTCAAAACAAGCCCTTTCGTTTTCGGCAAAGTCACGCGCACAGCTGGCGCGGAGCCAGGGAGGAGGCGGCGCTGCACAACACATCCTAGATAATGAAGCCGATGTGCTGAATGAGATGACTTAATCAGAGAAGGCCAACGATGGACACAGATTGGAAACGAGTGCTGCGTCAGCGCTCGGCTTCGAGCCGAACATTGACGCAATCGTCGTGTCCAATCGTGACCAGCGTTGGCCTTCTCTGATGAAGCCATTGCATTTAGCAGTACAGCTTTGTTATCTAGGTGGTGTTGCACCACGACACGGTGGAATGCAGGCGTGCTCAGTTGCCGCCCTACTGTCAGCGGTTGTTCTTCGCTCTGGGTTTCCGTAGTAGCGGTGCGTGGGCTGTGATGTGCGTCTGTAGTTAAAAAGATGGATGCGGTTCACTTTATGAGTGATATAAATGTGGTTCCTTCCACGAGTGGCATAGATGTGGTTCTTTCAACGAATGATATGGATGACAGTATCTTAGGGCGTCGAAATATTCCGACAGGCAGAGTACAAAAAAGGGGTGAAAAGATTACAAGGTATCCATTGGTGGATTCTTAGGGAATGCGTTAACAACGATTTCCCTTTTGAAGTCTGAGAGGTCATTGGGCACCTAAAAGAGAGAACTTCATCCGATTCCTCGACTGACCGATCATCCTCAGCGCTACATGTGTCGAGCGCCGCCACGTTTTCCGAGAAGGATAAAAAGCCAGGGGCATAGTGCATTTGCAATTGCATTAAAAACATGTTTTATGAATGCTGTTATTAAATATTATAGAAATGTCACTTACAAAGCTTCTAATCAATTGGGTCACAAATAAAAAGAAGGAGGTGAAAAAAAAAAAGAGCACTAAAAAGAAGTGTGCGTTTGTGAAAAAAAAATTTCTTCCATTATGTTTTTTTTTTCTTTTTTTTTTGCGTGTTTATGACTACAATTTGCATAGTTTTAGACAGTAAAAAAAAAAAGAGTACGACCTTTGGGGTGTCAATGCCCCTTTTAATCTTGTAAGAGAAGTAGAAGTTGGAGCATTACCCATCTTCCGGAACCAGTAGCCCCAGTTCTTGTTGTGCGGGGAGACGTACTGCGCAACCACTTGGTCTCCCGACGGAGCTGCAGGGGCGTAAGAAAACGCAGAAAACTGCAGTTAATACACGTCAAATAAAAGAATGGTTCTCTTTTTTGGCACTTCCCAAAGGCATATTGAAACGCCTTTGCTCAAATTCACCCGAGGCCACACTCTGTCAAACACATTACGCACAGCATCAAACCAATTGTCTGCGAACTGCCACTTAAGGGGACACTACCAGGAAAATGAATTTCTGCAAAAAAAGTTGATTTTGAAAAATGCCATATTTACATCCTAGAGCACTGCACGGGCCGGAATTTCTAGGCCCGGCCCGACCCGGCCCGACCCGGCCCGGTAGAGACACGACCCGGGCCCGGCCCGAGCCCGACAGAATTTTTAATTTCTAGGCCCGGCCCGACCCGGCCCGGAAGAGACACGGCCCGGGCCCGGCCCGAGCCCGACAGAATTTATAATTTCTAGGCCCCGCCCCACCCGGCCCGATGGCTGTAGCCCGAAACAACCCATTCCCGTTTGAATCCGTCCCGTTTCGACCCGTTCCCGAAACGAGCTCCCCCTTTGAACCTCGTCCTGTTTCGATCCATTCTTTAAACGCCCTTCCCATATGAACCCGTCCCGTTTCCGACCAGTTCCCTAAACACCCTTCTCGTTTGATTTTGTCCTGTTTCGACCCATTCCCTAAACATCCTTCTTATTTGAACCAGTTTCCGAAGCACCCTTTGCGTTTGAACGCGTCCCGTTTCAACCTACTTTTATAAGGCCCTGCACATCGCAACCTCTTCGCAAAAAGTCTCCATCGTTCTAAGCCTGGTCTGCGCACCTTTTCTGTTTAAGAATATGTTCTGAAGTAGCTTTACATGTCAACGCGTTCTTAAAATATACAACCCTTTCAGGCAAGCTTAAGTTTAATATATTCCTACTTATCCCCTTAAAATGTTTTTTTTTCAAGATGGTTCCCAAAACGTGCAAGCGCGGAACGGACTATGTACATTGCGCGACACTGATACCGCGAACACGACGTTGGCTCTTTTTTCGAATTTTACTTCGAAATGGTGTTAGTAGGCACCAAAGTATACCGCTTAGGTCTGTGGCCCAGATGAGCACTTCTAAAGACACTAATAGTTTTGAAAACAGCGTTTTGATTCTATGAGATAAACATAAAAACACGACGATCGCTTGTTCGCGCTAATTTAGTGTCGCAATCTGTGCAATAAGGGAGTCTTAGAATAACGTACTCAAGCACTTTGGGCAAGCTAAAATTAGCATCGCCATAGGTTTTACATCGGAACGCTATTTTTACGGTACCCAAAGCGCTTGCGAACGTTTTTCTAAACTTTCCTAATAGTGAACTAGATATTTTTGAGAGCGATGAATCAGACAGGTTGACAAGCATATGACTGGGACTTTATTTTGTTTACAATTTATAACACTGAACCTTCGCTCACACGGAAAAAGCTTGAAGGCTTTCTAGCTTCAAGACGTCTTTTAGTTATTATTTTTAACGACGCTGTAGTGAATTTGCACTTCGCCTTTTTTTGTATTTAATGAACCTAAAAGATTAATGAGCAAACTTCTCGCTATCAACAACAATTTATGATTTACGGCACAAGATTGCCCAGGCACGGCCCGGGCCGGCCCGGGCCGGCGCGGCTTGAGAACTTTTTTGTTCAAGCCCGAGCCCGGCCCGGGCCCGAGAAAATACGTGCTACCCGGCCCGAGCCCGGCCCGCGGGCCGGGCCGGGCTCGGGCTTTCGGGCTGGCCCGGGCCCGTGCAGTGCTCTATTACATCCACTTACATCTAGAGAGTGTTCCCAGAAAGTCTCCTTGATTTACACTGCATAGTTAATTTTTTATAAATTATTTTCGATCCACCGACGCTAAAGAAAAGGTAGAGGTTGGAGCACTTTGAACTCGTTTTTCTCTGTTCCACTTTTTGCCATAAATGTCACTTTAGGAAAACTATCCTTTGTTAATGAGACAAAAGGAAAGACTTACTCACTGTTTTTCCTAACTGGAATTTTATGGGAAATGCGACTGTAAAATTGTTTTTTTTTACTTCGTGAAAGTCTCTTACAAAAGATGTTAAGATTTCATTGACGACATCCATCTATTGTCGTTTGCAATGCCCAGGCGCGGACATGAAAGCTGCGCATCGGCATCCGTTTTAGCCTTCGTCCGTCTGCTATTCCGCCTTCATCTGAATACGTCTGCAACACTTGCAAGATGAAAGCGACGTTCTGGCGTTCCGTAAAGCACGAGCCACGGTACAATACAAGTGTCTGTCAGTGTCTGTAGATGTGCAATAAAAAACGACCGGGCGAATTAAAAAAAAGATTAAAAAAAATAAATATGCAGTCCTTCCAACATTTTTCTTTTTTTGCACTGGATTTGCAAGCAGGGTGGGGCAGCGTTGTGACGCACAATTAAAACAGCGACCGAAAAAGTTCGCTTTGGCAAATCAGGTGCAGTGCACAACTTGAGAGCTACTTTCACTTCGAAGCAAATTGACGGGAACAAACCTGGACGAACTTGATGCGAGCCGAAGGGCCGATTGCCTCCAGCCAAATGGCTCGCAAATTCTTACCCAAGTCTAATCACGACCGTTGCAAAATTTACGGAGCAGCGGGTCCGCTTTTACGGAAACCAACATCTTTTTTCAGCATCAATACGGGCAAAGAAAGAAATCAAGCCAGATCTATCAAAATAGTAGATGTGAGACGCCATGCTTAGGCCAGCCCCACTATTAACCCAAGCGTCCGCACAGCGCTTCCGAAGGCTCATACTTGCGACAGTTTTTTGCTGCAAACTATGTCGGTTGAGAACCATCTTCCTCTAAACACCTCTGTAAACTCGAAATGACTCGCACTCATAAAACTAACAAGCTCAGCGAGGGTCCGCAGACGTCGACAGCCAGGGCTCATGTTTGTTAACGTTTCCAGCCAAAGCGGAAGAAGCAATCTCAGAATACATTTAAAAACAATAATGACTTATCTCGATTATTGGTTTCCCAAGCAAAAAAAAATACTCGATTCAAATGCTATCACGGCACGGAGATACAAATTTCCAACCAACCTTTCACACGTAAATCACCTCTCCAGTCAATGAGATATGTAAGCACCTTGTAAGCATGGGGCAGGGCTTAGCAGGCTGCAACCGCACATAGTGCGTCTAGCAGCATAAATAATGCTAAAAAAAAAATTTATTTTTCTTGGTAGAATTTTGTTTTAATAGATACATATATAGGCCCTTTAGGAAAAAATATATTTTTTCATTGAAGTGTTTCTTTAGAGTCCCGGGCGACCATTACGTAACTCCGAATGGTTTCCCATCGCTACTGGGCCCGGTGCTCTCCCTTTGCAGCCGCACACCATGCTCCACCTTCTTCACCTTGCTGCACCCGCCATCGTCGAGTTCAGATCTAAACGTGCATTGAGGAATTCCGCGCACCAAGAGCAGTGGCCGATTGCACACAACGCATACAATCGATGACTGCGTGCCCTACGCTGCACACTCTATCGAGGCTAGGTTTCAAACTCGTACGCGAAAGCACTATGAGCTGGTCTGTAAATCTTACGCGTTTCAATACAAGGGCAAACACTCTCTGCAAGCGTTTTTTTTTTTGTGTTGGCACCCAAGCACTGCATTCAAAAAGGTGGCTTGGGAAGCTTACAGTGCCAGACGATCTTCATCTCGACGCTCAGGCGCTTGTTCTGCGGCCCCGGCAGCTTGCTCACGACCTCGCCCTTCTTGTTCCTGATCTCCACCTTGACGTCGCCTGCACGAGGCACAAACCGAGACACAAATAAAGCCGAGCCACGAACCAAGCCAAGGCACCAACCGATAGGTTTATTCAACACGGAATAAACACAGGCATTTATTCGCAGGTTACAGACATTTAATTGCACCTTCACAGAACAAAATGCGGAACAAACGTTTTGTTGCTACCACCTCGTTCATACGGACACCTCCGTTTCCTCCAAAAATCAGTTAATGCGAGTCGTCCATTACGACGAGACAAAAATGCATGTATTCACGCGGTTCATCCCTAAAATTTTTGTCTGAATAGTGGGGTCTGCATAGTAATGAGACATGACTGCACAGTAGACCCTCATTGTGATAAGCAGAGTTTCGAGATAAGAGAGGCACCGAATTTTCACTCCACTGATTGCGCATTGTGCGAATGGAACCCCTCCAATAATCGTGGCAATTAACTAGGCACTTACACGGCGCACGGCGCTGTGGGCAGAACAAAATGACTGCAACAAAATTATCAACACGCAACACTCATAAGATGAGACAGCAAAACCAAAAAACATGTAAAAAAAAAGAGTGAAAGAAAAAGATGAATAGCATAACGTTGAGCACGAGTGAGAGAAACGGTGTATCCGGGAGAAAGAAAAAGCATGACAACAAACTTCTTCGAAGTGCATGCTGCTCCGCGCTTTGTCGCACCATGACACAGAACTTTTTCTCATTCATATTTTGCACGTTGTCACGCTCACAAATTGTGCACTGCACCAAAAATTGTGCAATACACAGTTTATTTTTGTCTGTTTCTTTTGGATTGTTGTTCCTTCATAAACCAATGTTTAAATTACCGGTTCGTTGTTTGCTGAGCCCTGCCTGTTTTTTTTTTTTTTTTCTTATTCTTTTTATTATAAAACTTAATGTCAAGATTTCAAGATCTCCGAGATCGGTCTTGAAAGCTTTTCGAGATAAGCGACGAGTGAATGCATTGTGCCTGTGGGAGTTCATTCCATGACAAGAAAATCTTTCGACTTAACCGATATTTCGAGATAGTCGAGTTCTAGTCAACGATGGATTACTGTGCTTTGAAATGCAATAACATTTTTTTCGGCCCAACCGAGAAAATTCCGTTCTGTAACACAAAACGAATGCGCATGCTCGGAGAATTTTGAGTGGATAAATTGCGAAGAAAGAACGAAATTCCAAGCGTCTGCTAAGCAGAATCGAACCCGCGACCTCGAGATAGCGAGCCCGATGCTCGCCCACTGCGCCAAGACGACGGCTTATGAGGCAATGCTTACTACAATAGACCACTTACAACGTAACCGCTTATAGTGCAGGACCAGGTATAACGCGGCTTTTTTAAACCACCGGTTCGCCTCCCATAGAACCTCATGTAATTACATGCCGCTTAAAATGCAGGCGCGCGAAGGGAAATACTGGTCATAGTGCGGTTTCTGGAACAGCCCGCCGACCGCGCCGAAGCAGCGAGCACGCTAGATAACGGCGCGAGCCGCAAGCGGCACTCGCGGGGCAAGGAGGTTGCTCGAAGAAACGGGGAGGAGCGAAGAGAGAGGCTTCAGTTACCATAGCGACGGAGGGACGCACGCACGTGTCGTTCACGTGCGTGCGTACCTCCGCTGCATTGGAAACAACCGCAACGACAGACCAATCGCAGGTCGAGGAGAAGTGTTCGCGCGCGTTGCATGCCGGTCGCGGGCCGGCTGCTTCTATCCGCAAACATGGCGTCGGTTTTGGAAGAAGCCAACGTGTAGAAGCTCATTGTTCCGCGTAAAAGTGCTATCCTTGACTGTGAATTTTCGTTGTGTGTCGCTATGATAACCCAGCACGTACTAGAAGGGAAGATCTACCTACTTGTGCGGCGATGTTGTGGCGGCACTTTCAAGACGGCAGAAACGCCCGTGTCGTCGTGTTTGTTTACTTCGACTACCGTGGTGCTTTCTAAGCATTTGTGTTTTCGAACATCGCCCGGATTGCTTATTTGGAGCATTTCATGCCTGTGCTCAAGTTGAAGGTATTACTGGCGCGTACCGTATAAAGGATGCGAATTTTCACGCGTTTTCATTGCCGGAGAAAAGTGATTAGGGTTAGCAATCCTGAACGCTCGCAACGTCCGTCCGCAACCCGCGACGCCGTTAAAAGGCTGCGCCAGGCAAAAGTCGCTCATTTCTTTCAAAATGTGTGACACACTTGAGAGAGAAGTGTACTAGTCTGGTGAAATAAAGACTTTCCTCAAACTAAGCTTTATTTTTCATCTAACATAAAATAAATTGTTTTACAAAGGTAAGTTGTTTCATGGCATGTATTTTGGCCTGAAAAATTGATGTTTTGGTTATAGTGCGGTACCGCTTATAGTGCGGATTTTCGCGACTCCCGCGACATACGTTATATGCGGTCTACACTGTAATGCGAAAGCATTAACTGTCTCATGGAGCGAGCTGACGTCATGAGTTCGAAGCGCGAAAACGGCTCCAGGTTTTCGGCGCCTTCAATTCCATTGGCTGGCGCAAGTCGATGGGGCTCCCAATGGTTGTTGCACCATGGCCTTCGAGATCCCGAAGCGCGCGCGCGCTAGAACGCAGCAGAAGACAAAGGGAGCGGACGAGCGACTTTCACATGCTTTCACATTCACAACTCATAAGAAATGCTTAGGTGTACCTTGAGCTCTTTAAATGCGATATCATTTCTTTTGCCAACCGACGCTGCAGAATGTGCAAGTAGCTCGAGCAAGTAACTGCGACTTTCGCTCCCACTGCAAAGGGACGCGCGAGATAAATATTGCGTGGTGTACAACGCGGCGAAGCCGAACTCGTTGAGCACGGAGTTGAATAATTATTTCTGCAGAAAGTCGCTCGGTGCTGGAGCGCGCCGTGAGAGAAGTCAACAAACATGCTTTATTTACACTCCCGGGATTCTGGAATGCTATTCTCTAGTAATTTTCGCAAAAAATAATCTCTGTGCTGAGATGTCTTTTTTTTGTTAAATCTGCAGAGCCGCCTCCACTTTGTTCATTAAAAACGGGATGAAATTACATTAAACGTACAGCAGCAGGAGCAGGCAACGAAAGTTTGTTGGTTATATCCAATATTTTGCTATAACCGGGTTTGTTAGAAGTGGCTTCGACGTGTTTGTATGATTTTCATTTCCTTCTACTTCTGTTAATATTAGAATCAAGCAAATATAAAATAGTTTTCTTTTTTTTGCTTTATATCAGTCCACCTCAGCGCAGGTGTGGCACAATTCTTAGCAAAAATGGCACTTTGGCGCAACATGTAGCAGACTTTCGTTCAAGGCACAATTTGGCACCAACGGCGCAGCGCTCCCGTCACTGTATTCAATCTCACAACTTTCGAAAATTGGCTTTGACTTGCTTGTTGGTATAGCAAATGCTTAGCCCAGTGATTGAAAGGAACAAAAGCTGTGGCACCGTGTGGAAAGCAGGAATGAAGTCCCCACCAAAATGAACACTCGCCAGAAGTGAAGCAAGAGAACCTACGAACCGATCGCTTTGCCCGCCGGCCGCTTTTCGTTCGCTTTCAGCTCGTCTCCTTCGGGCCACGTGACGTCCAATTTGGAAGGAAGCCTGAAATAATGTTGTCTCGTAACACATCATTTTTTTTCACTCTTCTAACACACACGACCGCAAAATTTTTTTTACAGATCCAACTTTTAGTATTGTGCTTACAGTTCAGCTACACTCTCTACAAGGGACGTAGTACTTTTCCCGTAGAACCGAGTGCAGCCTGAACGCGAGGCAGTTCATGGACGCAAGAAACACATCAGTCTGTACAAACATAGACCACGTGGAAAGCCACGTGTGCTTAACGTAACACTGAATGCTTCACACGCACGACTACGTTCGGGGAAGCAAAAACTAGTAGTAGTGGAAAGGAAAACTCAAGTCTCACAAACGAGAGTGGATAAACAAAAATCTATGCCTATTTATTACATGTTTCGTGAACATACGCCTATTTTGAGCGCTAGAGCACTAGAAAAAGTTACAGGCCTTCCTCAAACACCGCTCTAGGCCAAAAGCACGAAATGCTTTCGTTGAAGATGTCACGGCCATGTCACGGCACACTCGGGGTGCGTCCAGACGCTTGTATTTGCCTAGGGCTGCGAGTTCTTGCAATATTTTGTGAAAGGACTAACCGGCACTCTGGCGCCATCTATGAGACAACCATGGAACTGCATTTAATTAGAGCAAAAGTTTGCGCTATTTGCGAGACAAAAGGTTCGTACTATTTATGAGAAATGGTCGTTTATAACTTTGTCAAAAGCTTTTGGAGTCAAAAAAAAAAAAGAATAATGCGCGTATAAAACGGGAAAGTTACTGATAGAGGGTGCCAGCATGTTCTCTCGTTGTAAGGAATCTTAAGTGGTTTCGAGGCGCACGGTCGTAAGCAGTCGCGAGTGAGCGAACCAGCCTCTGTTCCGGACGCCCCGAATTCCAGAAAGACCGCGTCCGTCCAACACTCACTTTCCCTCTTCGTCCTCGATGATCTTCTGGAGGACGCTGTCGGTCACCTTCCGGTCTAGCTTGGCCAGCGGTAGAATCTTCACTTCGTCGTACATCGACCTGGGTTCCTGTCGGGCAAGCATACGGCAGACTATGTTTGAGAGGCATTCCCGTCGACGTCTGAAAGGCGCAGACTCAAATGCATTCCCTGCACATTACTGTCAACCAGCACAAAACCAGCACACGGTCAAGCGTGGTTTGTAATAACCGTGATACACGGACCGTACGTAATGGGGAAAGAGCCTACTATGCGCAGTAAAATGTTGCAAATCTTGCTGCTTATAAAAAATTTTCTAGAAATTTAAATGGGAAAGTGGCAGCTGATGACCTTTTGAGTAAATGGAGTTGAATGGCACCAGTTACCAAAAATGGGCCCCAACTGAAATTTTCAAAAAATCATTTGTAAGTTTTGGATGAGATAACGGTTCGTTCTGAAATTTTGGCATCCGATTCGGACCGCAAGCACGACATTTGTGTGGAGAACGAGCGTTTGGCGATGCATAGTTCACTTTTGCGGTGAAAACACTGTAATCCTTTATAAAATGAGAAAAAGCACAGATGTTGTGTTTGTGCTGGCGGTGTCATCATCAATCATCATCTCAAAGTGTCAAAAAGGAATCTCCATATTTTTCGAGTTTTTTCATAACTGAGAGATAAACATAAAAGAGCTTAAAGGGGCACTGACAGGTCAAAATTATATTTTTTTTCTTATTATTCGAAACTATTGAAAACGATTCCTTGACATTACCCTCAAAATTCTAAACTTGGGGACTCAATATTTGTAAAATAAAAAAAAACAATTTCAAAAAAAAAAAAAAAAATTTCAAGTACCCGCGCGATCTACCCCAGTGCAGTGACATAGAAGATTCAGTCGTCCTACAACTCGAGTTTCTCTCACGCCTCCGAACCGTCCCGACCCGAAGTGTCGTGTTCGCCCCCGTCCCGCAATCAACCGCTTTTCTCCATGCGTGTCGCCTATCGCTGTGAGCAGACAATGCTGCACCTTCCAGTTTGAAGTTCTTAGGACCCTTTCAGCAATCTCAAGTTCTTCGAAACGGTGTGAGGTCGAAGAGAATTCTTTGAAACGGCGTGAGGTCAAATGGTCGAAGAGAGCGCAGAAGTACTTAGCTAAATCGAGAGATAAAATACATTGTCTTCAATGGAAGCAAGATAGGGAGACGAAAAACTTTTTCTTAAATCATGAATTTCCTTAGATCGGGATTCGTCAGATGGAAGTTCAACTGTACAACCAACTGCTACCAAGTACTACAAAAATTACTACACTTCGTGATCTGTTTAGATGCCAGAGCAGGCAAGGGTAGCTACCTGGAGTATCTCCACCTCCCCTCCAGTTGCATAGACAGAGTCCACATAGTCGCCGTACAGATAGAACCTCCTGATGGTGCCGATGATGATCGGGTTGGTGCGCAGCGTACGAATCTGGAAAAGGGGAACACCCGGTTCGCCATGAACATCCGACGAAGATGGCCAACTGTTTTGCAGGAACAGCTCAGCAGCATTAGAAGCAAGGCAAACTTTGGGGTTTGACATTCAAACCATGTGATGTCACAACGTCATAGTGTCACGTAACACAGCACCCCATGATGCCAACGTGTCACATTGCATCGCCATGTCATGTGACACTGTGACTTCAACGAGGCAACATCCGTGGACAAAAAATCCCTAAGGCTGGCCCTATAAATGCTACACATCTAGAAGGCAGAGGAGTCCGCAAAAGAGGGCGCATTTGTTCCTGCTACCCGTCCCTGAGTTGCTTTTTAAAGCTGCACATCCCTAGACACGGCCCTTCCAAGAAGAGGAGGAGAGAAAGAGGTGCGGCCCACCAGCTGTCCCTTCATGAAGCGCTTGCCGTCCCACTCGATGGCGCTGAAGACGGCCCAAGGGTGCTGCTTGTACTTCTGGGTGTCCTTGCGGCTCACCGTCTCCTGGTAGCCGAGGAACTTGACCTGCTTGTCGCTCTGCTCGTGGCACATCTGCAGCCACTCCAGGAACTGCTTCTCGATGCTCATGCGCACCACCTGCCGGGGCAAGGGAACGCCTTTCGTCTACCGCCCAAACGTCCCCTACGCACAATCCATTAGCCAGGTACGGCTTTTCTAAAACAAATCTGCAAAGCCTAAGAAAAACACCCTGCATGGTGAAATTTGGGCATCGTCGCATTACGATGTCGAGTCGTGAAGTCACGCGACCTGACCATCACTTTACGCCCTAACGTGACACCCAACGCTACTTCATCTAATAACGTTAACACCGTAGCAATTTGGAGGGGCGTTAGCTCACTAAATTTAATTGATGATGGCACGGTACTGCGACGGCTATGCAAATCCCAACCTCTCTTCCACTAAAATGCAATCTGCATTAATAAGGGGAATATTAGACGAGGCCTTTTGGCTAGGACAAAGTGAGTAAAAAAGCTACCTGAGCATATAATGAATGATTCATTACCACACTTCCAGAAAGCTCAAGAAATTAGTCAACCAAACAGTTCCACGGCTATGATGATTATTTTTGGTATATATTGCCACCCGCAGAGCCGAGAAGGCAACGCTTGGTCACGGTCTTCTAGAAGATTCCCGGTCATCCTCGCAGCAGACGTAACTTTCCCTCTGCTTTGTTATTCTCGAAAGTGCCAGTTTATCCTCGCCCCGAGCGCGCGACGCTCGAACCTTCTTTGCCGAACTTTCGAGATAGTGACGCACGGTAGATAAGCAGCTGCAGCTGCTTATCTACCGTGCGACAACAAGCAAGCTACAGCGAGCATGCTCGACAAGGTCGCGAGCATGCTCGCGACCTTGTCGAGTCAGTCCCAGTTTCGCTAGCGCTCTGTAGTGCCGCCGAACCGCCGCCAGCTTTTCTGCTACCTCGACGGTCTTTCGTTATTTATTTTTGGTTGGCACAAGTTCGCCCATTAAATCTTTATTTTCAGTTCACTGCTCGGCTTTTCGTCACCTTCATTCGTGACATTTCTGGTGGAGGTGCGGGGTAACGATGTCCCTGCACCGTACTCCCCCGAGGGCCCGCAGTGCCAGTCCAACACCAAGCCCACGAGGACCCAACGAAGACACAAGCAAGACCCGATAAAGTCGCCGCAACCAAGAGCTAACCCGGAACTCGGATTTCCGCCAACCAAGATCAAGCAACCAACGAGGTCAACGATGGACCCCCAGTCGTCGCAGACCTCGACCACCGCCGGACCACGGCATACCACCTGCAGATTGACGGGCTGACGGAGAGACTAAACAAGACCATCACCGACATGATCTCGATGTATGTGGACGTGGAACACAAGACGTGGGATGAGGTGGTGCCCTACATCACGTTTGCGTACAACACGGCGGTTCAAGGAACCACTGGGATTACACCTTTTCAGTTGGTGCACGGCTGAAAGGTGACGACGATGCTCGACGCCGTGATGCCTCACGGCACCGACGAACGACGGCACCGACGAACGACGGCACCGACGAACGACGGCACCGACGAACGACGGCACCGACGAACGACGGCACCGACGAACTACGGCACCGACGAACTACGGCACCGACGAACGACAGCACCGACAATTGATGGCACCGACGATGCTTAGTTGGTCACCCAACGAGCAGAAGTACGCCAGCTAGCCCGCCTTCGCATAAAAGACCAGCAACGTGTCAAAGCTGGCCGGTACAACTTTCGTTGCCGAGACGGGGAGTTCCAGCCCGGAGACAGGGTGTGGGTGTGGATGCCCATTCGTCACCCCGGCCTTAGTGAGAAACTGTTAAAACGCTGCTTCGGACCCTACAAGGTCATCCGCCGCCTTGGGGACTTGAACTACGAGGTGCTCCCCGACGGAACTCGCCCATCAGGACGCCGCCAGTCACGACCCGAAGTCGTCCACGTAGTTCGACTCAAGCCGTTCTACGCGCGTTAGGATTGTGAAACTGCATGTTTGTTTTGTTTCGCCGTAATTGTTTTAGCCATTTCCGTTTTCCTTTCGTTTTGCATCGGGGCGATGCACTTTTAAAGGGGGGATAATGCCACCCGCAGAGCCGAGAAGGCAACGCTTGGTCACGGTCTTCTAGAAGATTCCCGGTCATCCTCGCAGCAGACGTAACTTTCCCTCTGCTTTGTTATTCTCGAAAGTGCCAGTTTATCCTCGCCCCGAGCGCGCGACGCTCGAACCTTCTTTGCCGAACTTTCGAGATAGTGACGCACGGTAGATAAGCAGCTGCAGCTGCTTATCTACCGTGCGACAACAAGCAAGCTACAGCGAGCATGCTCGACAAGGTCGCGAGCATGCTCGCGACCTTGTCGAGTCAGTCCCAGTTTCGCTAGCGCTCTGTAGTGCCGCCGAACCGCCGCCAGCTTTTCTGCTACCTCGACGGTCTTTCGTTATTTATTTTTGGTTGGCACAAGTTCGCCCATTAAATCTTTATTTTCAGTTCACTGCTCGGCTTTTCGTCACCTTCATTCGTGACAATATCGAAGCATTCTGCAAGGTGTTTTTGTTGTTTAAGCTTTACAGCTTTGTTTAAAAAAAGCTGTGAAAGCTACATTAATGCAGCTTGTACAGGTGAGTTACACGGCCAGGGGAACATGACGATAAGTAAGGTTAACTAAAATATGTTCATCAACTTTTTGGTTAGTGAAAATAAACAAATGGATTCAATTAGAAACTTGTTCAGCGTCATCAAAAACCACTAAATCAGTCAATTTTAGAAACACTTGGAGCATGTGAGAAGCATGGTAAAATGCTAAAGTTACCACTCATGCAGCAGGAGCAAGGTTACCAGTGCAATAAAGCGCTTGCGCAGTTTTTCCGGCTCTTATCATTGGTGTGTTCTCACCGGCAGCCTTGTGCCTGTTGCACGAGTAGCTTTAGAGCACTACTGCACTTCCTATGCACTCAGTCTTTCTCAAAAATTGCAGACGACCACAGAAAGTGTGCTGCGATAGACAGCGGTAGCTGTTGCATTGTTGAAAGGCATGTTGAAGGAGATTTGCCTTAGCCATTGTGCTCTACAATATTGCCTGTGGGTTCTTTGCTTTCAGTGGAACTGATGTAGGAGACGTGTGTGAGGAGATGTGCACTTTGGTGGAACGATTGCACGAGATGCTGCATGTGTTGGAGAAGGGCACGGAGACGTGCCTTTTTTTATAGTGATGGTCGTTATGGGCTCTTCCGACCATTGGAAATGATGTCTGTTGTTGATGTTGTAGTAGTAGTAGTTGGCAATGTAGGGCATCTGTGGTCGATGTTGTAAATACTTAAAAAAGATTGCCCTCACATTGTAATCGAGCGACCACAAAATTGGCCTCGATGGTGCCGCCATTTCGAGATAACTATGATTTTCGGAGTTGGACTGGTTTCTCCACTGTATGCTGGCAACGTATACCTCTATGGCTTGTATGCTGCCAACGTATACCTCTATGGATTTTCCAGTCAAATTTTGTATTTGAGAAAACAATTGAATATCATTGTTATTGCTTCGAGACCCATCCTACGTGTAATATCTAAATTTTATATGCCCCCCTGCATGAGTAATTGAATTTATACTGCTCCAATCACACCCTAGCGTAAACGCTGTTTTCAGTGGCAACATGGGAGCTCCGACGCCACACAACACAAAGCGAGCATTTCTGTCTCGTCGTTTACCTGCGAGTGAACGCCTCAGCGTGCTTCGTTTTTGTTGTTGTGCTCGACTTGTTTCGTGGTTGGGTGAGATTTTTGTTGTGCGTTTGGGTGCCACGACCACCGGGCAGCACATGCGAGCCAAGACATGACGGTCTACACTTTTCCGCGAGACGTGCTGTGACGAGCAAAATGGATCGTCACCGTGCGTAGGGACTGGGTTCCCGTCAAGATCGAGATCCCGCTTATGCAGCAATCATTTTACAGAAGAAAGCTACGAGCTGAGCTCTAAGCGGACAGAAGGCTCGTAAGCTGAGGTGCGATGCTGTGCTAACGATAATAAACAACGTCCATCCACTCCTTGCCCAAATCGGATCAATCAATTTGATTATGCAGCGAAACCGAAACCAACAGCTAGACCACCTGGAAACAATACCAGAAGTTGTATTTAGCACGCGTGCAGCCAAATTCTGTTTGACCCGCATGTGAAAAGAGCGTGGCTATGATTCACCAAGCTCGTCCAAATCAAGTGACGACACGCATTTGCGCGATTCGCTGTTTGCCTTCAACCCACGGACATCGCCTCTGAGGGAACGACCCGCAGCCTCATCACCAACTCAGTGGATCCGCCAAAATGTGTACCCAGATGCTGCTTCGTGTCCTAGTTGCCGCTTCAGAGGTGAAATCTGCATCCTTTGCCTTGCAAGCGCTCCTAGTTTGATAGGTGGCCGTCGCAGTTGTATTTGCGCGAAACGGCATAGGGTACGTTTCCTCGAAGCTTATGGCTGTTTTTGAGTAATATCCTGCTAAAAGGCATGACTTTTTTGCACACGCTTGGGAACTGCAATAAAAGAACTGTATTTCAGTAGGGTACAGCCTAGGAGACTATATAATTCAAAACAAAATACAAGACATCCATCGACCAATGCTTGTTATCCCAAACATCTGACAAACCTTTGCGTTTTGTGACGTCACGCAGCAGCTACGGATGTCAGCCATTGACACTGGCAAAATTCGGGGTGCAGTTTCCTACATAGGCTCATGAAAGGTTTAATTAATGACAGGAGATCATATATCAAAATAAAAACGACGTTTGTCTACATGAAGGCTCCCTCGATGTAACGAGCGCAAAAACTTAACTACTGCCAGTTTCGACCGGACAATCCCTTTAAAACAAAATCCATCGAATCCAGATCCAAATCTGTCGAAACATAAAACCAGTTGTCCTTTCTTCTGGTCGTACTGGCGGATTCGTTCAACCTCGTGTTTTGCCTTCCGCGCTTCCGCGACGTCCGACCTTTTGTGCTTCTGTGGCATCGGACATTTTTTGCACCAAACCAATGGCAGCGCGACTTGCACAGTACGATGCCAGACTCAAGAACGAGGCAATTTTGATAGCCGAACAGCTGGGAAACTCCGCCGCTGCTCGGCAGCCGGTTGTGAACGAATCTACAATTCGTGGATAGGGGCACCGGTGGTATGTGCTTTCCAAATGTGAACCAGACCGGAACATCTTCCATGAACCTTGTCATGGCCTTCACTGGGATTTTGAAAAGAAATTTCCGGAGTTTGTCACTGACGAGAATCGGGTAACGACGTCTTGGGGAAGAATCGAGCGACTGTGTGCAATGAAAATCGCTGAATGGGTGTCTACCACGTGGTACAGCGTCCCGCATGGCATGGTTGCTCGTGCATTTAAAAAGTGTTCGATATTGAATGACCTCAACAGTGCAAAGGAAGACATCATCTGGGAAGAAGGCAATGAGATGAACTCCACCTCCGACAGCGACGACGACGGAGATGACTACGAGCGACGGGAAAATTATTGCCCCAAAACTGGCCACCGTTGGCCACCATCTAATTTAAAATAAAGCTACTCTTTTATTCCTCCATCAATCTCGCACTACAATCAAGATTTTTTGCTTGTTTTTTCTCTTTACAGGGCATAATGAAAGCTTGCACATCATGTTATACAATCGTGGTCGTGCTAGAATCGAGTAAATATGGTGCTTCTGAAAGCCCAGAAGCTAACTGCAAAATTTTATAATTAACGAAGACTTACATGACTCACTTCTAATTGTCAACAAAAAAGTTTCAACTTGTGATAACTTCTAGAATGATGCTAAAACTAAGACAACTGTTTTGTTGCACTTATGCTGTTTCTAGGAGATGTTGACATGCTTTGTGCTAGATTTTTATGCAGGCATTGTTAAAAAGTAGGGCAGAAACATTTGTGATAAGGTTCAGGTATTCTTGAAAACTACAATAGAAAGAAAAAATGTAGTTTCTGTTTGTGCTTAGCACAAGAACTTGAGTGTAGAGCTGAATATTTAATAAAAATTAGATCAAAAATGATCAACAAATGTTCAAGACCAGGGTTACCCCCATGGTGGTGCGATACTTACACGTAATTGTAGGGTAATATGCCATTCACAAAATCCATCACCTCTCATAACAATCGACCTTGCAAAAACAAATCCTTTGAATGGTTCGCATTTCTAGCTAGTCCGCACCGTATGAAATTTCAACTTTCGAACATGTATAGTTTGTGGACTGTAGTCCGGAAAATATGGTAAAAAAACTTGCTTTGAAAGCAGTGTGAAGTCCACAAAGACCACCGCACGATAAAGTACATCTGCGGGCAAAACCCACCTGGCCGTTGCAGACGCGAGCAAAGATGGTGTTCTTCTCCCTCAGCTTATTCTCCAGATCCATGAAAGTGAGCTTGTTGGTGCTCACTTGAAAAGCATCATCCGTCCACAGGACACCCGAAATCCTGCAACAAAAAGCCACGCTCAAAGACGAACAATCTTACGACATCAAATTTCCACAAAGTTTGCAAGCTGAGACCTGTCTTTCAAATTAGTATGCCTTCCACATGTAAAAGTGATGCTTAGCCATCCCCAGAACTTCATAGTACAATACAAGTGACTCGAAACCACATCAGTTATGGACACACTCCTTCCGGCTACCAATTCTTTTACGCACAAAGAATATTGAAAAACAAAAATCGGTAAATGTTTGACAGATGCAGTGATGTGATTGGCTTAAGCCATTTTGGAGCACCTTTTGGAGCAGCCAAAACAGTGTTTTGGAGTAGAAAATGTGGCCATTGAAGCAACCAAGACAGTGTTTAGGAGCAGCAAAAGTGGTTTTCGGAAAAGATATTCTTAGAAAAATAAAAAATATTTGTTTTAAGTGCTGCACAAACGAAGGGCACTTTGTGTTGTGTTGTGTTCTGATGTGACATGTCGTGACGGAACTTGCTGCTTGTGTTTTTAGTGCTGAGACATCCCACAAGTGTACAGTGCTGTAGGCATTGCTGAGTAATTCCGAAAAATCGCTTGCCACCGTTTTACTGGTTCCCGACGTGCCAGATTTTCGGCAAAAGTAAGCAAACGGGAAACAATGGATTGCAAGCGTACCCGCCGGTGCCTCTGTCGTGCAATCATGTTCGCATGCACGTGAGAGGAACTTCGGCAGGCTTGAAGTTGCGCGTGCTTCGCCGCATGAGCAGAGACAACAGCTGTTCGATCAAAACCGAAACCATGCCACTCCGCTCCGTCACCGACTTATTTCCAAAATTGTATGCAAAATGTAACTGTCCAGCATATGACAAAAAACAGTCCAGCGGCGCATGCTTGCCAGGCCGGCAAACAAGGTACAAACTACACACAAAAAAGAAAAGAAAAAAAGAAAAAGAACCAGCCCTTACAAAAATTATCAATGACTTTCTACTAAGTTTCTCATATATTGTATATGAATACATTAGAAACTCAACTAAAACTCATTGATCATTTTTGTAAGGGTTGGTGCTTCGATGCAAGACATCGCGAGCCAGGGTCAAAAAGTACTTGGAGCACTTTGAGCAACGACTGAGCTCAAACAAACAAGCGCGCTGTGCAGGTTCAGTGCGCAGACGTTGCCTTCTTTGCTTTAGCTCACTTCTCTTCCCCAACTTTCTTTCGCGGCAGATTTTTCACATACCGGGGTTCCTCTCGAAAGAATGCCCACCAAGAGAAACCTAGGTAATCAATACTTCGACACAGGAGTCGTTGAGTTAAAAGAGGGATTTTTGTAGTAACCTATGATTTAAACATGAACAGCAAAGTTGATGAACATGCGGCGGTAGTTAGTTTAATTTTAGAAAGCGCCATATCTGTAGCGACGTGGGGACGGCAACACGCGACCACAGTGACTGGAAGGCAGGGACCCACAGTTTTCCCACGACCATTGCCTTCAGGAGCAAAATAGCAAAATAGCTTCCGCCGCACAAAAATGTGGTTTCGTTTTACAGCATAACGGCATGACTGGTACCCGCCACGCTAGCGTGGAAGCATCTGCACACGCCCGCGTCTATCGTCCAAAATATTTTAACAAAAGACACGAGACAAGACCCAGAGACGACGAGAGCGCGAAACGCGAGACGGCGGGAAAATCATGCAAGACCAGATGGACGATTGATGCAGGGTACTTTGTGTTGGGCAGCCACTTGCGCCACATAACACACGCGTGCTCAATTACGGTACTCATTTTAGTTTCGGTTTTGAAAGGCGACCGAAATTGGTTTTTTGGCACAGGCTTGGCACAGATTACCCATATTTTGGCAAAATGTAGCGGGATGTAGCAGGGTTAGCCCCTTGGCGCAATTGGTGCAGCCATCACATCGCTGCAGGCGAAGAATACGTCTTATTTTCTTTTGGTTGTTTCCCTATAGACTTGCCACATTGGAACGCATTTTCCCCATCATTACTCCTATTAAAGTGGTAGCTTTAAAGGGGAACACTACCCAGAAAAAAGAATATTCAGCAAAAGAGGTCGATTTTCAAAAATGCCATACTTACATCTACCAACATCAAGAGAGTATTCTCAGGAAGTCTAATTTATTTAGACTGTATAATTATTTCTTTATAAATAACTTTCAGTCCACCAATGCTAAGGAAGAAGTGGAGGTTGGAGCACTCTGAACACGTTTTTCTCCGGTCCACTTTTTGGCATAAATTTCACTGTAGGAAAACTATCGTTTGGTAACGGAACAAAAGGGAAGACTCAATCATTGGTTTTTCTCACTGGAATTTAATGGGCAATGAAACTGTGGCATTGATTTTTTATTTTGTGGATGTCTTTTATAAAAGATATTAAGATTTTGTCGACAACATAAAGGGCAAAAGAAGGAAACGCTTTTCAGTTCCAAAGAACAGAAAAGCATTTCCTCTGAAATGCTTTTCTGCCCATTTGAAAGATGTGGTTGTGTTGTCCCTGTTTTAACTGTTTTATTCTTTCTTCATCCATGACTCAAACCAACACGCTCTTCTCCCAAGCGTTTCCTCTGATTACAGATAAAGTGTCGGATAACTGGCAACCATGATTTTCAGCGCCGAGATAGCTGAGGCGTTGTCCCTCCAAAGCGGCTCGTTCAACGACTCAAGGTCCGACCATGCACGGCACTGGCCCGGCCCCGCAAGAGGGGGGCCGGAAGAAAAATGGAGCCCACCTGTTGAAGCACTCGATGGGCACATTCCTGGTCTTCTTGGGCACGCCGCACCAGTCAAACTCGTCTATGGTGGTGTACGGTATGAGCCGCCCGTTCCAGAAGCACTCGAAGACGGGCCTCTGGCCACGGGCGGGCTTCAGGTTCGACGTTGTCAACACGTCTTCCTCCTCGTCGCCGTCCGGGTTCACTGAAGGGGAGACACGCACCAAGCCACAGTGCGGTCGAGGACTAGCGCACGGCGTACCACGGAAGAGCACCAAAAAGAAACGGCACCGTTCAATGCACTCTCGGTACCACTACTTTCCAGATTCACCCGGGTAGAGTAAAATGCTGCCAGCTTTCATTCTTTGCCGCTGCCAACCGACAAATGTATGCCCAATGTTATTCGGAAGGACAGGTGAAAAGGAAAACGCGCCTAGACCCTAACCCACAGTTCGGTTGGTATTATCGTAGGTGCCAGTCGCTGTGACAGTACTGCCTTTCGGAGGATGTCCACCCAAAAAAGGCTCGGGTGGACGTACGAAGGGGATTACAGGTCTTACGATAAGGGTTCTGTGTTTTCGGCGTTCATGCTTCTTTGAATTCGGGGGTATTTTTTTGGCATTTATTTTTTCCCAGGGGTTCAGTGTTGTTGGGTTGGAAGAAAAGAGCCGTATAAACGGAAACCAAGAGGCAGACACAGAAGAAGCGCACTCGCAACTGAAGGTTTATTGAAAACAACATACTATTAGTTCGCGCCTATCTGGCTGCTTGCTTAGAGAGAACAATTGAGCAGTCCTGTGTTAATCCACAGTACAGTCAGCGACAGCTGCGACACGTCACGGCGAAGTCGTTGAGCATCGACGTCGCATTCGTGCACTGTGCAAAGCGTTCAGAACAAAATGGACATCTGACCATTTTGTTCCAGCTTTTGCTTCTTCTTTGTTCCCAAGCGTGTGAAATTGTGTCTCCCGGCACAAGCTCTTCGCACCGACACTGCTACAGCAACATTTTGTTGTCGGATATTTCTTTGTATTTTATCAGACAGTGCGAGCAGTGAGCATCGGAAACTTTAAAAACCCAATATATAAAACGGGCTGTTAACGTTGTGGCGTAGCTTTGTGATAAAACACCTCCACTTCGCACGCCGTGGACCCAGGTTTGATTCCCGTGGGCCATCTCTTTCGAGAGATTGGCAACATCGACGACGGACACACTACGTCCGTCTATGACAACTACAACATCGACAACACAAACAACTACAATAGACGTCACTTTTAGTGGTGGGAATAGCCCATAACAACTGTCGCGGTAAAGCTGCCTGTCTGCCAGGTGTAGCGACAGACGAGTTTTTCTTTCTAAGCGAGAAGCCAGATAGGCGGTGCTAACAGTATCTTGTTTTCAATAAACCTTCGGCAGACAGCGTGCTTCGTCTCCGTCTGCTTCTAGGTCTCTGTTTATTCGACGCATTCCTTCCAAACTATGTACCAACTACAGTGAAACCCGTTTAGAACGAACCCACGTACAGCGAATTATTGTCTATATCGAACTCACGGAAAATTTAAATAAAAACGCATGTAAAAGGTATTTTTTATAACGAACAACATATTGGCTATATCAAACTTTTTCCGCCCGGGAAGGCCTCCAAAAACGCGCAAGCAATCGTCTTCTAGCCTGTCCCTTTCCCCTTTCCCCTTTCCCCCCCCCCCCCCCCCCCCCCAAAAAAAAAGCAAGAAAGAAAGAAAATTCCAAAAGCTCAAGTTGCGAACGAAATTGAGCGAAGAGAAGCAATTCAGAAGGGAAGAGCCCTAAAAAATACTCTGCACGCACGCACAGAAAAAAGAACTTCTCATCCCAAAACGGTTGCCCACGAAGAGAAGCGATTCAGAAGGGGAGATAAGCTAAAAGAACAAACTTTGCTTACAACGAATGCATTGTGGAAGTTCGTTGTAAATAGTTTTTGCCATATCGAATTACTTGCTATGTCAAACTGATTGTGGCGTTTCCAGCTGTTCGTTATAAACAGGTTTGACTGTAGCCCACGTTACCATCTTAATAGTCTTGTGCGAATAGTGAATTTTGAGTTCGAAGCGAATAGTGGTTTAGGCCGAATATTTTCGATTCGAATATCGAATAGTTTTCCCACGCCTTTCACTACCATTGCATAATGCTTTGACGAAAACCCAGCTAAGCTCGTGAAGGTTGTTCCACTTGTTCATTTATAAGCTAAGTATAATCTATCTATATTTATGAACTGTGACCTCAGAAGATCTGGTGTCCTCGGGTGGCAAGTAAACGACAAATTTGACATAAAATGAATCCTGTAGAGGTGGTCAACTATACCTAATGGTGTTAATTCAGAAATCTTTCTATATGAAATATTCTTTCTTTAATCTCGAATTAAAAGGAATGAATCGTGCATGATGAACGCAGGTTGTAAGGGCATCTCTGCCTAACCTACTATACTCTTGCATAACAGTTTAATTTTAAACATTTTACTGCAATGTAGATATACACATTCACAAAGTTTTAATTTATTTTCACATGCAGTCGGCACAGGTGCACCATCCCGCTTTGAATGTATGCTTTACTTCCAAGCACGCAATTACGATATTCATACTTTTCCAAGTGTTTACTACGACGTGTTACCCCGTTTAGTGCGCTTCTTACGAAGCACCGGTGCGCCGCTGAGAAGCAACACCCGCGGAGCTCGCTTCCGCGGCTATTGCTACTCCGCAGCGCACCGGTGCTTGGCAAGAAGCACAGTCAACGGGGCCAACTCGCCGCAGTCAACATTCGGAAAAACGCGAATACTGCAGTTCTTCTCGAAGCGAATATCGAATAGTGTATTATTCGGAACTACTATTCAAAATTTCGAATATTCGCACAATCCTACATCTTGAAGACTTTGACGAGCGTGTTGGGACAGATGTAACAGTAAGAAAGCACAAAACAAACAGAGGGACAAAAACAGACATGTACAAGCTGTACAAGTTTGTACAGCTTGTACATGTACATGTACATGTCTGTTTTTGTCCCTCTGTTTGTTTTGTGCTTTCTTACTGTTACTCCTACATCTTAATGCTGTTTTTCGATATCGAACAAAAAGATTGGGCTTTATGGGGACTTATGTTAAAGAAAACGGGACACGGGCGTGGGGGTTCCCCAACCCGCAGGGAACATGCACATTAACTGAATACTTTTAAGATGAGCCGGCACCACCAAGAGAAGAGTATGGGATAAGGGGTGTAGTTCCAAAGAAAATAGCACCCTCGCTGACAGTTCAGGGTGGACTGCGTTCTGGGCACGGTGCAAGACATACAAGGGTGTGGACAGCGCGCACATTGCAGCTGCCAGAAAAAGTCCTCCCCTCGCCTTGGTTGCAAGCGGCGCCAACAGATGACTCCTTGATACGCGAACAATGGCAGCCTGTTACGGACCCGGTTTCCCATGCTTGTCTGGGGGAGACATGCTTCCTTTTTGAAGTCCACTCTTGGAAAAATAGGGCCCATTTTACCAGCAAGTGACTGCATCTTTGCCGTTACTTTTTAGTGTTTTTCTACAGAATAGTAATTAGGTTATTGTTACAGTTAATTTAAAAAAAAAAAAAAAAGCAACGCATTGCAGTTAGAAGTTTCCAAGACATATAACGAGTTACAGTATTGTGATGCTAGTAATTCGATACCGCTCCTGCAGACACGTTCAAAGCATACGCATGTGTGAAGCAAACCTGCTTCGGACAAGCCTAGGGCACGTCTGCAGGGAATTCTGTCACCACGTCTGTAGCGAACGAGTTCTCGTGACCGGCTTCGAGCACAGCATGCTTGTCTTACGAGGACACGACGCACGTCGAGGCGGAGGGGCACGGGGGCTCACCCTTGCGGTCGGCAGACTCTACGGGGAAGGTCTCGTGGTCGTAGAGGAACGGGTGGTAGCGCAGCTGGCCCTCCACCACCCGAGTCCCGTCCACGGTGGCCTTGAAGTCAAACATGTCCGAGGCGCTCCGGATCAGCAGCGTCTCCAGGTCCGTATCAATGTCCCGCAGGTTGGCGATCTTGTGCAGGCCGCTGTTCATCTCGAGGCTCACCTGGCAGAGACGAGGGAGACCGTCCGGTAAGATTCCCCGGAAACAGCTTCCCGTCTTAATTCAAACAAAACCTACCCGCTCAACGATCTGTTTTATGTGTGCATACGCTCATGTCTTGCTAGAACAAAGGTCACATTCTTTAATCTGTAGGTGGACACGCGGACTTCCCGAAAGGTGAAAGAGGTTTCAAATTATGCCACTGTACACAAAAAAAAATGCTTAGTATAGAATAAACTTGCAAAACTTTCCAGAAGTCCCTTTTCCTATTGGCGATGGCTAGTGCTCCAATTTTTTATTGCAAGACGTGTTATAGAGCTGGCACTTAACCATATCCAGTTAGGTGCCCACAAAAGAAGTCGACGGGACGACTAGCAGCCGAACACCGATGCAGCACTCGTCTCCTCGCTGATTGGCCACCAGTGCCGGCCAAACCTTTTCCTCGAGCGCCTCCATGTTCCACTCCCGGCGGGATTCAAACATCACGTGTTCAGACATGCGGTGGCGCTCCAGGCTTCCCCAGGGAAAGAATGCGACAGAGAGAGCGGCAGAAAAGGAGAGAAAGCAGGGGCTCACTTTGCTGCAACGGGTTGAGGTATCGTAGGAGTGTTTGGTTCTTTTTTGCTACGAGCTGGTGTCAGGGCTCTGTTCGGCACTGCTGCGTTCCAATAAGTGGCTTGCAACGACGGCCATTGTGGTGGCCCTGCTGCCGAGCACATACCTTCTACGGCACACGCTTAGCACCGTAAAATTTTTTCTCGGCAAGAACAAATAGAAGTGACCGCCAGCACGGGGTAATTACGCGTCACATGCAAGCCATGTATTGGTACGTTTTTGCACGCTCAGTCTAATGTGTCACACACATTTGTGTGTGACACAAAATAATTTCGCAGCAACTTGCTCACCTCAATGTCGAGATTCCGATAAGGCGAGGGGGTCCGACCGTTTGTGTCCTCGGAAAGTTGGTTTCCTTCCGGGCCATGAAGGTAGTAGTGGTAGATGTGCCTGGTAAGAAAAGCCACAATTGAAAAGAGTGCAAGGCCTCATTTATTAGGTCCGTGAGGCAGAGCATTTATCTCTGCTTTCTCAATTCTAATGCACAGTTTATGAACAAGACATGTGTGTCTACTGCAACCCACTAGATGGGACAATCACACCTGTGTTCATTTTACATTGCTAGAGCCTACGATAGATCCCAATTTTGTTAACATCTTAGGGGATTCATCATCCACCAGGCCCTACGTGCAGATTGGCGCCCTGCAAGCCCAGTCGAAAAATTGAAATTCTAGCCTTGCGTGTTAACAGTGTGCATCAGAATCAAGAAAATCTGACAAAATGCTTGTGAGAAAAATGTGCACTAGTGTCACGTGGACACAGCCAAAAAAATAGAAAAGATTGCTAAATAAACTAAAACTAAGTCCTGGCTAGCATGGTTGACAAAAAAATGTTAAAGGGAGACTGAATCGAAACACAAGGCATTCAGAGTGAATAGATGATGGTGTTAGCGATCAGGGTGGCTAGACTGAGTTTCGGGAAGGGACTAGCGACCAATCGGGAGGCACTCACGCCAGCTGGGTGCACCAGGTGTTGAAGTGGTGCTTGAGGAACTGGACGTGCTCGCTGGACACGCCCCAGATCACCACGCAGGTAAACTGGTCCTTGCCCACTTCCTCCGCAATCACCTTGCGGATGCCCTCTTCGTCGGCCGAGATGTGGCTGCAGTCCCCGGGCTGCGAGAGAGAGAGGGCACACCTTTAGCGTCGGCCATGCCTTACTTCCCTGGTACTAAGATCCTCAGTTCTCTAGTGCATAGATGCTTGCCAAGTATACTAAGATACCAACTTCCCTAGTAGGACTATTAGGATCCTTACTTCCTCAGTATACTAAGATCCTTACTTCCCCAGCACCAGGGTCCAATCACAACAACCTAATTGAGACCTCTGAAGTGCAATAAACATGCAAGCCATTGCAGTACCTAAAATTTTCTGGCATTTAAAGGGATGCTGAACCGAAATTTCACAAAGCGAAATTTCACAAAGCACCAAAGCACAAAGAAAGTTCACAAAGCAAGGCTGGAGCGATAGGCGGGGCGCTGCAATACCAAAGAACATCACTCGTACAGTGATATCTCTGATGGCTGGCAGTATTTTTGGAAAAGAAGTCCGCAGGTGAACACAACAGACAAGGCCAGCGAGACATGTCATGTCACGATTCTCATTCCTTCTTCTTTTAACTTCGTCCCCTCGAGCAAGTGAACCCAAGCGAGGAGGAGAGAAGCCAGGCCGCTTTCCTGCATTCTCAACTCTTCGAAGAAAATCCTGACACATTGCTCGCTCAATCTCGCCCTTCTTTTCCAAATATACGGCCATCCACTTGAGATATCGATGTATGAGTGATGATGTTTTGGAGTTCTTAGCGTCCCGTTTAACGCTTCTGTGGCCTTACTTTGGAAAACCTAAATGCGATTCAGCATTCCTTTAAATACAACAAGCTTGCCAGAAAATGTATAGAAGAGTTGCATATCAAGCCATCTTACCTCTTAGTGGCTTACACAAAATCACAAAACAATGCTGACATTCTACAGAATAATGATTAATGAAAGCTTAGTACAGTCAAACCCGATTATATTGAACGCAGGTGTATTGAATTATTGCCTACATCAAACCCTCGCAGAATTCCGATAAAACTTCTATGCATTTTAAACTTTTTATATCAAACGTCATCAGGCTCATAATGGGTTTTCGCCCTTTTTTGTTTGGCAAAAAAACTCAGCGACGCCACATACAGTGTAGACCGCATATAACGTATGTCGCGGGAGTCGCGAAAATCCGCACTATAAACGGTACCGCGCTATAACCAAAACATCAATTTTTCAGGCCAAAATACATGCCATCAGACAACTTACCTTCGTAAAAGAATTTATTTTATGTTAGATGAAAAATAAAGCTTAGTTTGAGGAAAGTCTTTATTTCACCAGACTAGTACACTTCTCTCTCAAGTGTGTCACACATTTTGAAAGAAATGAGCGACTTTTGCCTGGTGCAGCCTTTTAACGGCGTCGCGGGTTGCGGATGGACGTTGCGAGCGTTCAGGATTGCTAACCCTAATCACATTTCTCCAGCGATGAAAACGTGTGAAAATTCGCATCCTTTATACGGTATGCGCCAGTAATACCTTCAACTTGAGCACAGGCATGAAGTGCTCCAAATAAGAAATTCGGGCGATGTTCGAAAACACAAATGCTTAGAAAGCACCACTGTAGTCGAAGTAAACAAACACGACGACACGGGCGTTTCTGCCGTCATGAGAGTGCCACCACAACATTGCCGCACGAGTAGGTGGATCTTCCCTTCTAGTACGTGCTGGGCTATCATAGCAACACACAACAAAAATTTACAGTCAAGGATAGCACTTTTACGCGGAACAATGAGCTTCCACCACGCCGTCTACGTCGACGATCACAACCGACGCCACATTTGCGGATAGAAGAAGCTGGTCCGCGACCGGTATGCAACGCGTGCGAACACTTCTCCTCGACCTGCGATTGGTCTGTCGTTGCGGTTGTTTCCAACCAACGCAGCGGAGGGATGCACGCACGTCAATGACACGTGCGTGCGTCCCTCCGTCGCTATGGCAAGTGAAGCCTCTCTCTTCGCTTTTCCCCGCTTCTTCGAGCAACCTCCTTGCCCCGCAAGTGCCGCTTGCGGCTCGCGGCGTTATCTAGTGTCGTACAGGGAAGCGCGCTCGCCTGCTCGCTGCGCTGGTCAGTCGGCGCCGTCGGCGGGCTGTTCCAGAAACTGCACAATAACCGATATTTCCCTTCGCGTGCCTGCATTTTAAGCGGTATGTAATTACATGGAGTTCTATGGGAGGCAAACCGGTGGTTTAAAAAAGCCGCGTTATACCCAGTCCTGCATTATAAGCGGTTACGTTGTAAGTGGTCTATACTGTACTAGGCAGCCCTAACACACCTCCGGTTCACGTATATTTTCTAATTCTTTACATATCATTCGTTTATCACGAGAGTGAAATAAGTTTGACGGTGCAATAAGTTGCCACCTTCGGAAGATAGCGCGTATATTCGATTTTGCAAGTACCGCAATAACCCGCCGTCTAGTCCAGAACCAGAAGTGTTTGGGGGCTGTTTGCACACCGGCACCACCACGCTTCAACTCGCGCGAGAAAGAGAGATTATCAAACCCTACCGCGCCGGATTACGCACACTAAGGAGGCAAGCGGCAGGCTTCCCCGCATTACACCGGCGCATGGCAGCGGAAGCGCCACCTGGGGTACTGTGGCGTCGCCGATCCCCATGTCCACACCACCTGCTGCCCGCACTCGGTCGGCTACGTCATTCCGTTGCGTTCGTTTCTCTTAACGTCAATCGGCTCCCCCGCGGTTCCCGCAACGTCTCCGACGTCACGGGAACCTCGGCGGAGCCGACTGACATCGAGATTGCCGGCGCGATTGTCTAGGAGCAGCCCGTTGCAAGCAGCGAGCCTTCCGAGCTCGAACGAAGCTGCCGCCGTCACAGCCCCGCTACGCCGCCACTGCAGCACCATTGAAGGCAACGCGTTTGCGCTCGGCGGCGAGTTAGCTCCCGACTGTGTCGGGTGCATTGCTCTTAAAGAAACACTAACACCCCCCAAAATTTTTTTTTTTTTTTTTGTCAGGCGATTTGTTATGGTGTCAGAATATTACCCAATGAGTATTTTGCTACAGAGTCACGTATCTCTTTAATAAAGACAAAAAACGCAACTGCTCGAAACCAAAACCAGAACTCCCGCACCGCACGGAGAAGTGGAGAGGATAGAGTGAGTGGCGGAAGTCACGTGGCTACACCGAACCGTGCGGGTTTTTTTTGTTTTTTTTCCGCACGTAGCAGACGAAATGCTTTCGCCATGCGATTCCTTTGCAGTTATGTTTGTTCCGCTCGCTGTTCTGCACTTCAAGATGAGTTGTTTTGTATGTACATTTAAGTGTTGGCAATTAGTAGTGAGTGCCCGTGGTGAATTCCCGTGATCGGCTCCGAAAAGAATACTCCCAAGATGTTCCGTGAACAGCTGCCTCACATGTCCTGCATCTGAAAGTGGAATATTGTGCGGTAGGGTGCACAATAAGACAATATTCCGAAAGATCAACGGGTCGGGATCAATGGCTGGCTGCAATTCCTGCATAACAGCTACGCGAAGCTCGGAAAGCGGACGCTACCCGATTCATATGCTCCTTGCATTTTGTGGAAAGTGACTACATTGAGTGTAGAGCTGTCAAAAATGGAATCCCATACAGTTTAGTTCAGCGACGTACCGTCCACAACAATTGTTTTTCAGCGATAATTGTAAAACAAGAAATGTAAACATCACAAAATGCTTGACAAAAAAAAAATAATAATAATGGTACACCTACACCAGGGATTGAACACGTGCCCGCTGCGTGTGAAGTGGACGTCTTTCCACTGAGCTACAGAAGGAAGTCTACATGCGTAGTAATGAAGCCCGTAGACTTTATGTCGGAAGTTTACTGCCGATTTCTCTTCAGTACATGCACTCCCGGCTTGAAGTCGGGCAGCACCAAGCATAGGCCACATTCGCACCTCTTAAAGAAACCGTACGCGTGCCCATTCAACTCGATGTACGCACTTCGTGCTCGACGTTTGAGCGAGCGATGTCTTCAGCCACGAGAAGGGACGACGGCTCCGCGACGTCTTCGTGCAATCGGCTTGCTGGTCGGGCGTGTCGTACGGGATGAATATCAGTTCTTTTGATCAGTCCAAAATTTCCCTTTTGAAGGAAGACAGAATTCACTGGTACCGTGAACGACAGTCCTAAAGTAGAGGTCCAATGCTTGTCGTCCGCAGCCAGCCGCTAGTCCCACGATACGCGAAATGACGCCCATGTTGAGAATTATGCAGTGAACACACAGAATGCTTCCGGTTGTCTGTGCTACCTTTTTTTTCAATCAACGTATTTGCAGCTTTTTGGAAGCCACAAAATATGGGTTTCATATTTTTTTTTTTATCTTTAATATTGACTGTGTGCCTTCAATGACCCACGACTTTGATTAGATTTGGTGGTCGCGTCGAAACCTTAGAAAACGGCCCGTGACCACGGAAAAGAGAGTGAGCGTGACTGAAACCGGCCAGTTCTCGATCGGTAGTTTTCGGGCAGAAAGAAACCGTACAACTCAAAACCTCGGCGAGCATAAATACCCGTCAGTGTCCCTTTAAGCGAGTATTCTCGCTTTGTTTTGTATATTGCATTTTCGCTACATTGAACTACTCTGGTATCCTTGTGTTGTTCAATGGAAGCGGGCTTGACAGTATTAGGGCAATACAAGCGGAAAACCAAAGGAGCAGCATTGTGCGTGGCAGCAATTTGTCACATTTCAGCATTCAGTTTTAGACTGGCTGAACACAAAACATGCACAAAATTATTCTGCACTACTTAGTCAGGGGGGGTAGAGGGGAAGGGGGAGGTGCCAAAAAAATTGCTATCACACTTCAAAATGGAAAGGCTTACTTTTCGGTTCAGGATCTTCCCAGAGTAGATGAGGTCCTTCTGCTTCTCCCTCTTTTCAAACTCGTCCTTGGAAATGACGAGTTCGTGAACATCCTTCGAGTCCTTCGGCTTGGTGATCATCTGAACAGCACGGAAACGAAAATGTGACGGTGACACTAGCTGACGACAAAATGAGACAGTAATAGGGAGGTGCGCACAAATATCATATAATATGACTGAAATACAGGCGAAACAAAGAAGTTAATATTCACATAAAGAAAAAATTTATCTAAGATTGATCAAGCTGACAAAGACCAGAGTGCATCGAATGCATCACACACATTTCCGTACGTGCTAGATTATTTTCATATTTTTTATTATCCCTTTTGATTTTATTTTTTATTCTTGTCTATTATTTTCTCTTAATTCAAAACTTGCGGTTTTCGTCAACACATTTACAAGCAAAACAAAATAATTTACTCTTCTAGAGGAGCTGTGCTCGCAGCTCAGTGGCTATAGTATTCGACTGCCACCAGACCGACCCAGGTTAGAGCTCTGCTGGGGCGTCTTTCTTACGCTAACTTCACACGGGCCCTTTGTAAGCTTTACACAAAACACTTAATCTTAATCCAAACAATTTTTTTTAAAAAGAGGGTGAGAGTTAGACAAGTGCCGTCTTCACCAAGTATTTATCAGGCTCGGCGGGGATAATCGTCCATGCTAAGTTAACTAAATAAACTAAAAAAATTTATTAACGTTTGCATTATCGGTTTCAGGGGTCATGTTGGAATTGCAGTATTGACGACAATGGCTATTAGATGCCAGATCAATTTAAAGAATTTGCAAAAAGGTAATGGTTTTATTTTAGATATTAATCTCTCAATTTTCATTTTTTTAGTTTCCCAATTTAAAAATTGCCTGCAAAAAGAAAGCATCATGTTCTGCCTTCAATGGCGCTTGGAAGAGTGACGTGGTCATTTAGGCTCCATCCCCACTTGCGTCGTAGGCGCACCCAGGACCTGTTGCCGAGATGGTGATGACGTGATTGAAACGCCGTCACTCTTCCAAGCCTCGTCGTCGTGGGCTGGGTGTGATGGGCTCTTTTTGTACGCAATTTTTAAATTGGGCAAAAAGACAAGAAAAATTATTGATGTCTCAAAAACCATCACCTTCTTACAAATTCCTTATACTGGTCTAGCCTCTAATAGTAGTGGCAGTCAATACTGCAAAATTCTAACCTGACCGCTAAAACCAAAAATTAAAAAGGTACTTAAGAAATTTTAGTTAATTGGAATGCCTCTTAATTAACACTGTGTAGCACTACCAACAAGTCGCTCATCCACGACGCTCGTTCTCAGCGCTCGCTCATGACAACTTTGTTATAGAAAACGACTCATAAAACACATTTTGTGTTCAATGTGGCTAAGAGTTGCTATTAATCAATATTTACAGATTTCAGTGCCCTTGAAAATGTGGTTGCAATAGTTATCTACATAGCAAATATGTGAAACAATGTAATCCCAGAGGGACCAAAAGCGGAACATACAAATGGACTTCAATTATTTTTAATCGCCCGTTTAAGTTAATAAAACTAGATTAGACATTAGAATGCATGTTTCACAAAACTGAGCGAAAACGGGTACTGTTAATTGGGCTTTTCACCAAACTGGTACCCAAGGTGACAAACAGACTACAATGAAGTCTCTTGCCCTGACCATGCTAGGATAGAGACCACAAGTGAGTATTTGATCGAAGTCAGTCTCAACTGTAGCTGGAAGGAAACAAGAAATTCTCTTGATCTAGGAAGCTGCCCCTCCCTCAAATTAAAAGCCCAAGGATTGACCATTTTGGTTGATTTCCAAAGTTTACTCAAACTCATTCTAGAAGTTTTGTACCCGTAGAGGTTCCGTACCATGGCCTTTGAGAACCTACTCACGTCCAACGTACCTCTATCGGTATTATCGCATGATATGGCTCGAGGGAGTGTAACTCACATTTACTCAAGCAAGACTGTGAATGCAGTCTTTGTTGCTGCTGATGTCCCTGCTGACTGCAGTATTCTATATGAAGGCAATTTGAGCCAAAACAAGTAGTCCAGCAAAAACTGCTCTCCCAATCCCAAGTTCAGTTTCAAGGGATGATTGTAAGAGACCTAACCACCTTGCCTCAACCCCCCCTCCCCCCCTCTCCCCTCTCCTTGACAATTGCTCGCTTTCCGGTTTTATACAGCAGATAGAATAAAAGTCTGCAGTACAGTTTGTTCCAGACATTCCAGCAGTCACTTCGAAATAGACGCAAGTGACGATGAATATTTGGAGCGCGCCGAAAAGACAATTTCTGAACCAGATATAAAGAGTATTCTACTTGCATTTGAAATTTCGCATACATGCACAGCAAACAAACAATAAAAAAAAAAAACACAAGCAAAAGGTGAAGAGATGTCTCACCCTCGTGGAGTTGCCAATGAAGAAAATGGCCTGCTTGCCACCAGCCCCAAAGTAGGAGATCTCACTGTTCAGGAACCTCGGCTTGTGGCCGAGGGTTTCGGGAGACTTGTCGTCTTTCTCGCTGCGTCATGATGGATAGGGAGAAGGAAGAAATGGATTTCATTTACAGAATACCCTCCTTGTTACAAGGTCAAACGTGTCATGTGGACATTTAGAAGGTGTGTGTGAATGCAGACATTCACACATGTGGACATTCAGTAGGTGTGTGAATGTAGACATTCACACATGTGGACATTAAGTAGTTGTGTGTGTGAAATTTAAAACACGATTTAAATCATTTTGATTTTTATTCCCCACCCTCTCCCTAAGTAAGGTGTTTTTCCAGATTCAGCACTATAATAGCAGGTCTTAGCCATCTATCGGGTGGAGGCAAGCTTCAGTCCTTTGTAGTTGGTCTGGAAGCAGCAAAGATGCCCCTTAAGAGCAGCTTTGGAGCAGTAAACACTATGCTCTCGAGCAGCTTAAGAGCAACAAAAGTAAAGTTTCGTAGCGGCAAGTAAATCTTCAAGCTGGTCACCCAAGTCAAACCTGGGGCTATAAGACCAGAGGCGTTTTTCTAAATACAAAAATATCACAACAAAAAAGCATCTTCATGTAACCTTCCACAACCATTTCCAAACATACCCTTTCCTTAAAGAGGCACTGACACATCAAAATAATTTTTTTCTTATTATCCGAAACGACAGAAAACGATGTCGGGACATTACCCTCAAAGTTCGAAACTTGGGAATTCAGTATTTGTGAAGTAAAAAAACAATTTCCAAATGCTGAATTTGAAGTTCCCACGCGATCCCACCAGTGCAGTGACGTCAAATTTTGCGGCCTCCTGCGAGTCGACTTTCTTTCGCACCTCCGCCCCACGCTACAAAGCAAAGCGTCGTTGCCACCGCGACCCGAAGGGAGGAGGTCAGGAGCATCGGCGCCGGCGGACCGTGAAAAACCGGTTTCTTCGTCCGGTTCACAGATCATCCTCTGCTAGAGCGCCGCCAAGTTTTCCGAGGGAGGATACAAATCCAGGAAGCGACATCACACCGGACTCCGAGTTTTGGTATTTCAAAAAGAAGGGCCGCAGTGCATTCACAATTGCGTTAAAAAACATGTTTTACGATTGCTGCTATAAAGTGTTATAGAAATGTCGCCTACAAAGCTTCGAAATTTCATGATTCTTGACGTCACCAATCAAAAGAAGTGAGGAGGTGAGGAGCGGGGAGAAAGGCAACAAAAATAAAAACGCAAAAAAAAAAATTTTTCCCAATGTTTTTTGTTTTTTTTTTGCGTGTTTATACATTGTTTTAGACAATAAAAAAAAATACAACCTTTGGGGTGTCAGTGCCCCTTTAAATATAACCCAGCTCATAGCATAAAAAGTCAACAGCGTACTAATTGCAATTTATCTGAATGGCAGCCATTGAGAACTGTACTCGTAGCGGGTTGGTTCCTCCGATTATTTCTAATAGAAGACGTAGTCAACAAAAAAAATGCACAACTTAAACCACATGAAAAGAAAAAGTTGTGCCTCTTTAATAACCTAAATCACAAGTTCCCTAAGTTGACAACAGAACCATTTCGATGTGCAACAGTACGGTATGAAATAAAGCCCAACACTTACTCAGAGTTTTTATTATTTAGGAGATACAAATGTTCACCGTCCCTGCTTAGCAAGCATAAATGTTTTCTAATACTCAAGCAAACAGTGTACAATATAGGTACTCTATCTGATAAAAGTACAAAAGCAAAATACTAAAAACTTCTTGATATCATCACCGCTCATACATACATACTTAAGCCCTTACTAGAACAAGCATGACTGAATAGAAAAAAAAAGCTTGTTTAGGAGTTTGATAAAAAAAAAGTGACTGACAAAACTAGCAAGTGAGACCATAAAACAAGAGCTTTCCCTCACAAGTCAATAGCGTGGATGCATACTAGCACAACAGTTTAGTTTGCGCCGCTCAGCAGGACATACCCACTGTTCTCCTCGTCCTCCCGCCAGTTTGCTGTTTGTGTGCCAGCACGCATACTTGCCATGTAAAAGTTTACAGATTTGTTTACAGATGAGGCAACTAATTATCGCTTTTATTGTCACTTTTACGACAAGAATGAGGAGCGCAGAAGCCGTCTCAGCAAACACCCTAAACATGCAAACGACAAAAAAAATTATGCCAAATGTTTGTTTAATTTTGTAGAATAGTTATCGCTTTCCCCGGAGACTAGATGATAGGTGAACATACGCCGGCAGGCTCCTAGGTATGTTTATATACCGTAAAGTCCTAAAAAACATTCACCCAAAATGAAAAGATAAATGGTGAAAAAAAGAGGCCGCATCTCCACGTGGTGAATGATGTTGATTGGGGCGAAGCTCTGGTGGTGCTGATGATCCTGATGTTATTGTTCATAGGTAGTGCTGATGGGGCTGATTTTTTTTTTTTTTTTTTGATTGCTCATAGGTAGTGCTGAGTTCCGGGTTGCGTTTCAACTTCATTATTACTGCTTTATGGTCGGTGAAATGCAGAGCCAGTGGTTCTTCTAGCGAATCAGCTTGGATCTGCTAGATGCCGTGGGAACGCATCTCCACCGCTTAAGTCAACGGTCCATGTCAGAAAGAGAATGTGTGGTATGGATCGTGGTTATACAGTTGAACCTCGATGTAACGAAGTCGGTAAAATTCGCAATTTACTTCGTTACATTGAAATTTCGCTAAATCGAAATTTGGCTTTAGCATGCGAAAAAAAAAAAAAAAATTCCGAAACATCTTACGGGTATGAAAACTCACCGAAAATGACATTTATTTAGGGGCAAAGTAGTCCGCGAGTTTTGCTTGCGCCTTCTCCGACAGTAGCAGCGGCGTCGGCGGCGTCATACGGCGTTCGAGCGCCCAGAGCGCTTGCACGGCATCTTGCTGCCCATGCGACGCCGTGTACCTCCTCAGTACGTCCATTGCGTCGAGCACTTCCCGAGTGCTCGTGATCTCGGCAGTTTCTTCAGGATGGCGTCCAAAACGTTTGCTTTCTCATCCAAAGAAAGAACTTTACGTTTCCTTATGGCAGCAAGCACGTGAGTGAACCGCCCAGTTGAAAAATAGAGCTGTTTAGTTTAGGCGGTGCCAATGTTTCCAACCGACACAGCATTCTTGCCCGCACAGTTTACTTGCCCCTTTGCGCCCACAGTGTGCTTGCGCCTTTGCTTTACATCACGCTCGCAAGACGGCAAGACGATAATCGGTCTTCTCCTAGATGGCACTGCCCGTGCCGTCGCGCGGTCGCGCCATCACGTCGCACGTCGCTCCCCCGCTGAAGTTGGCTCCCGCGCTACACGCGGTACAGTGGACTATGATGATCAGTGAATGTCAGTGGTGATGCTGTTATGCCGTGTTAACTTTTTGCTCGGCATTTTCTGGCCAGCCTCGCGAAATCCGCTTTGCCGCATGCCTCGCCGGCGCTACCGGCGCCTCATCCTCGGGCAGCCTAGGAACGTTGAAAGGCCTGTCCCCGTGAAGTAACCTATCAAGCGCTCGCGTTTGCGCATAATTTTTTTTTTTTTTTTAACCACAATTTTTTTGCGAAGTTGTTTTTTAGAGTTGATTTATTTATTGCCTTCTATGGCAATGGCGCTTCGTTATATTGAAATAGCAGCAAAATAGACTTCGTTATATAGGGACTAAAAATACATGGGGTCTATGGGCAAGAAATTATGAAAAATAAAATACTTCCTTAAATCGAGGATTTCGTTACATTGAAGTTCGTTATATCGAGGTTCGACTGTATACGCAGTTGGGCATTGCATTTGACCGCAGCGCCCTCTCGTCTATAAACGTTGAGCCAAGGCATGCAAAGCTTAACGCGATTATATACGCATTTGACCGCAGCGCCCTCTCCTGTATAGACGTTGAGCGGCTACATGCAACGTTGGAGTGCAGCGTAGTGGTTAAGATGTCTGCCTCGTAAGCAAGCAATCCTGAGTTCAAACCCCCGGGCGTATGGTTTTTTTTTAAAAGTGGGCCAATCCCGGAGGCAGTGCAATCGATGTGAGTATGGACGCCGGACGGATGGACAAGGCTAGACCCTAAGGAGCTTCGCCCCTAAAACATGAAACAATGTTCGGGGATGCGAAAGGAAAATTTAATTAAAAAATTGGCACGGGTACAATAAGTATGCCGGAAACCGCTATGAACTCCACTGTCACAGGTACGACAGCAGAACGCGGACGCAGCGCATTCGTGCTTCAGTGTGATATACACACAAGAACCCGCTACAAACCCAAATGCCACGCAAATCGCGGAAAGAAAAAAAAAAAGATGCGAGTATGAGTTAGGAATGTGCAAGTCATGGAACGAATAGCGCAGATTGCAGACGCTGTAGATTCGCATATCATGGTGCAATAAACACGAGGAAACCCGCGGCGAACGTGCTTGTCACACGTACCGATACTGCAGATCGCACGGTTCATGTCGTTCCCGTCAGACATTGCGTAATCGATATCTGACTGGAATCAGGGGGCCGGGTGTTCATTGCGACTTTACGGTATACACCTTTCCATAAAGGGGGAATGAGGGTATGTTCACTGCTGTGTTTGTGTGTTATGCTCTCTACGGCAGGCCATAATTGTGAGCAAGCACTGGCTGGACTGTGACTTGGCACGTGTGGACTGTGATTTTTGTAAACAGTGGAAACGTCTATACGTGATTTATTTGTGTGCGGTATTTCCAATACACGTGGCCATGCTCAATGGCACCGTGGCAAAAAAGAAAAGTAAACGACAAATCGATGTTTTAGTACTTTTGAAAAAGCCACCTATGCGTGTCGCATTTTCAAAGATCAGGCACCTGCACGCCGTTGCTGGCTGAGCTGTGGCACAGATGGCACAAAGCAATGCACCCAAACAAGTGCTTCGAAGGCACTGGTACGGGGAACGAAAATAAACGCACAACTTATGTATGTTGCTCACATTCGTTCAAATACGGTATTAGTTCCAGTGGGCTGTACCGCCGGAACTGCCCATACGTCGGGGCTCTATTTCGCTCTTTCCTTTCACCCAAGTGTCTATAGTCACTCGCAACTTAATAAACGCAGGGCGTTAAGCTCTAAGCATCAGATCATCGCTTTGAGGTGAACGGTACTGCACCATTAGTCGATACGAAGGACACAAGGGGAATCGCCAAGTGAGGAGCTTCAACGGCGTTCCGGTCAATGACCACAGAGGGTTCGTGCCCACCTGTTGTGCAGCGTCTTATCCTTGCGGATGAACTTGGAGAGTCTGTAGATGGCCCAGTTGTTCAGCTGCCAGGAAGTCATGCCCTTGCCGTTGTCCATCACCAGGATCGTGCTCTTCTCCATCGTCATCGACTCTCTGTCGTCCAGGAACTGTGCAAGAGGAAAGAGACAGCCGGGTCTGGGAAGCCGTTCAGCCTGCAGCGTCAGCTCTGACGAGCGCGGCCACATCTCCATTTGATATTTAGGAAGAGAATCGGATACATGTGCCCAAAAGTCAGGAAATGATGGCGAACTGTTATGGCCGTGCAGTTTTATCGTGAATAGTTGCCGTTACACTGCTGCCCATTGTAGCTCAGTGTTGTCTTTTTTGCGGATTGTCGTGGCGGGGGTCTACACTTACATTGCAAGTTTCTTTTATATCTAGTGCTTCATTATTGTGCCACTCCTATTATATTCCATGTTTGGAATAATAGTATTGATAAGTGAGCAAATAAATGTGTACAAAACCAAGCAGAACAAACCAGTTTCAGCTCGATCCTGCGGCTGCCCATGTTGTGCTTGGTGGCTGCCAGAGAGTTGTCGATGAGCTCCGCAAAGGCATAGGCTACGAAAAGACACCAAGATGCCTCAGAAAACGAAAACCACAGCATGCTATAAAGATGCCCACAATAAATGCCCAATCACACACTAGCATTTGATGACTGTACATCGAGATATGACTAAGAGTTATCGGAACAGTCATTCTTCGTATGTTATGTACCAAGCGACCACTACAATGTTTTCACACACCATACGAAGCGCGGATGTCTTAGTAACTCATGGCTACACCTCAACACAAGTCCCTACAATATAGTAAAATGCTACTGCGTGAAGAGGCCTTCAGTTAACATATATTGATCAATTCAGAATTTGAATAGGAACACAGGTCTTGAAGTCCCAAAATTTAGAAACCTCACACATTCTCTGTAAGAGTGATCTTGCAGAAGATTTCAAGCAATACTTCAAATACCACTATGCTGACACGGCAATGGAGGCTTTACGAAATACAATGAAAAGTTTCAAGAGTAATTTTATAGCGTTAAAAGATAGGGCAGCACAGTGATGCACGTGCTGCAGTCAGACAGTTCACCTTTATCTCTCATTATGCCAAAGGGCATAGTTCTGTGAACATTTGGAGCTGTGCTAGACGACTTTTTGTGACCATGTGTGCAAGCACATTGGCAATTTCACCATAGATTGCAAACCAGAACGAGTGACCATCACTTCTGTGTCAAACTCAACAAATCAAAAACAGAGACCTTGGAAAGGGTTCAGCAGGCCTTATGTATAAAAGCAGTTAATTATGTTACTAAGTGGCTTTGAGTGGCACTCACACTTCAAGAATGGCAAAACATTGCTGGAAGCTGGAGAAAGGTAGGGCAACCTTCTCCTACCGCTCTGTTTTCCAGTGATGTTCTGCCATTCTTCAAGTGCGAGTGCCACTCACAACACTTTGTGCAATTCACTGCTTTTTGATATAAGTCTGTTGAATCATTTCAAAGGTCTTTGTTTTTGATTTTTTTAGTTTGATGCAGAATTGATGTATGCTCTCGCTCTGGCTTTCAGCTTATGGTGAAATCGCCATTGGGCTCGTGCGCGTGGTCACAAAAACTCAATTAGTTTTTGTACCTGAGACGTAACGTTTCGCAGGCTGCATCTTCATTAAAACTGCTTCTTTATAAAACATTAGTTTGACCAAAACTGGCATTTGCAAGTTCAGTCTGGGACCCTGGTACAGGAAGTTGCACATCTTCACTTGAAGCCATTCAAAATCGTTCAGCACACTTTAAACTATCAAACTATCATCGTACATCAAGTGTCACATCCATAAAATCCACTACCCCTCTTTCAATTTGCCGCGGGATCTGTCGTTTGTGTTTATTTCATAAAGTATATTATAATAATCCTAGCCTAAAAAATTAACTAATAAGTGAACCAGTCCATGTCACCTCTCGCCTCAACCACATCTACATCTACAAAGTTGGCACAACAAACTCATTTTTTCAGCTCGTTTATCCCTAGAACACCTCGTGAATGGAACTGCCTTCCCCCATTCATTGCAACCATCACAGATTTTGCCCATTTTAAGCAAACATTAACAAATTTTTATTCATCTATTTGAGCAGTATCAAACATTGTTTATTACATTTGTACTTCTGTTCCCATTCCTCTCTGTAATGCTTTGGCCCTGAGGGTGCAAGATATAAATAAATGTCGTCCTACATGCACCAAGGTTCAAACCACTGATGCAAAGCTGATGATTGTACTAACTACAAACTTCACCAAATTTCCAAGGGAGCAGTTTAAGGGGCTCCCTTAGCACTTATGTCTTGTGGACTACCAGTACCGTTACTTCGATGGCAGTGTATAACATCCCATTAACACTGGTTGCTCAGCTTTCCTTGAAGACGTCAGAAATATTGCTACCTCTAAAACAATTGTGCTGTACAAACACCGATGTAAGGGTAAAGGCCAACCATGCCAAAGCCACCTAAACGTGTGAAAGCACTCACGAAGTGGATTATGTCCCTCGGAGGCATAGTACTCGTACATCCCAGACTTGATGATGGTGTCATAATGAGGGAGGTACTGGACCTGCACAAAAAAAAGCATGCGAAGATATCAGGTGGCTTTCTCATTTTTGCTTTCCTGGAATCGGGAATTCCTGGACAAGTTAAACACAAAGGGGAGTTAGAGTTGTGCACGGAAGAGGGTAGCCAGGCTTGCCTGAACATGGAGCTATGCTAAACCGAAGCCTCAGAGGAGACCACTGTGGCTTGTTTACGTGCCTGAGCTTGTTTCCATTAATTCAAGCACGTGGGGGAAAAAAGGGTATTATTAACATAGAATTCCTCTCTAACGAAAGCTAACTTAGATTTCGTGTTTGTGGCATGTAACATAGCGCGATTTTTTAGAGTGTGCAAAGAAAAAGAAATCTAAGGAAAACTATTTCTCATACGTTGCAATTCCACACAATGGCTCGATCGGTAAGTGAAAAACATGTCTCCCAATTTTTTCCCAGCAGAAATGCGCGGAAGTTCACAGTATACAATTCCTGTGGAGTCACATGAATGTTGAACAGTAGTTGATTAAAATACAGTCACACTCCAGTTGCATTACCACATTTCATCGAGTACTGAAAAGCTAATTCGTGTGCCAAAAAGTCCCATCTTGAAGGTGCGAGGAAGAACGCTACAATAGACTGGCTGCTTGTACACACCCTCATGAAAGTAATGGCTGTTTGTGCTTTAAATGTTTTGTATCAACTGTTTATGGCAGTAGCAACACTGACATACGGCCACATCGGCAGAAACAGCGACGTGCTATCAACATTCAGCCATGACAGTAGTTGCTTTCAGCATCGAGCCTTCAAAACAACACAGCTCTCTGGGAAAAACGGAACTGTAGATGGCTACTTTTTATTGCATGTTCACATACAAATTATTTCCAATGAGTAGTTGGCTGTTTGGAATAGTCTGAATTTTACTACTGCTCCATAAGGACAAAGTGAAAATTATATTTAACTCGTACCTGATTGCACCCATAGAGCATGAATTACCCATGGTCGATGGGCATGAAGGCCCATTTCAAAACTCATGCAGAACCACTTGCTTCACCTTCTCGTAGGTAGTTTGAAGACTACAGTTTGAATTTCTGGGTTTTTCTTTTTCTTTCTGCTTGGCGATTTTTAAGCAGAGCGTAAAATCGACGGCATGCTGCCGTTTGTGACGGTCATGGCCGCTTCCACAGGCCCATCACGCACTCACAAGCGTGGAAATTCTCACAAATCCTCCGTTCACTTTTCGGACTCAGATGGCAGCAGTGGGTTTGATGAAGCTAGACCACCATATTTCAGTTCTGATGACCTGTGCTTCACTACACTGAGAAACTGCTTAGCCCAATGACAGGTTGGTCGTGAGGAGGGTTTACTTGATATTTGGTAGGTAAAAATCTTTTTGAGCTAGAACTCCCATTGTTGCAGAGCTTTTTGTTGTGAAAATGGGGCACATTCCATATCTTTCAATTTTTCGGGGGTGCCTTTTTCCCTTCGAGATATAGCCACATATTTACCCGGTTTGAACAAATTTTGTAAAAACAATTGTTTTTGACTATTTAAATATTGCACTAGAATCTAGGTCTCTGCTTTGACATCTGCTTCATTTAAAAGCCTATTTATTTAGCTTTGTTTTTATGTATGGCATCATATTGTACACCTAATAGCTTCAGCAGGAGAAAAAAAATATAACAAAAGCCACACAAAACGGGCATTTTCTCAAGGCCCGCTTCTGACAGGGCAACTTTTCCACCAATTTTGAGGTTGCTGGCGGGTTGTCCCCTGGCTTTCCCTAGATCAACATGAATTGCTGAGATCGGGTCAGGCTCGAAACGGACGAGCAACTGGAACAACTCTGAGACATTTGAAGTGGCAGCAGCCAATCAGGGACACAGTATTTTCATGTGACACCCCTGTGGTGGTGATGATGACAGCTAAAAGATTTGGTTCTAGCTTGAAATGCATCGTTTTTGGAAATTAACCTTTTCAGAACGATCAGTTAGTATTCTCAACGCCATTCTAAGATATAAAAAAATGTTTTTAGCCGATAACTGTGCGCCTAAATAGTGCAAAAAAAAATTTAATGATGATATGGCAAGTTGTAGCAATTCAGTTGCTGCGTGTGAACACGGGCGACTTGTGTTGCTGGTGTTGCAACATCAAGTTGCTGGGTGAAATAGCCGTCTGAAGCGAGCCCTATGGTCAGGAAAGAGTTAACATATTTCTAAAAGCAGCAAGGGACACTTGGAGGCTTATTTTACACAAAAGGCGAGTGCGTGTACCTATGTTCCCGCACTCTCTTTGGTGCTTGGGTAATTTGGTGAAAGGTCTATAAACAAACTGTGCCACATTGTTTAGACACCTCACCAAGAACCTCTTCCACGATACAAAAGGCTAACACATGAGCATGGCTCACCTTCTGAAATGTCTGTCCTGTAAGCTCCTGGTCGATGTTCTTGAGCACATATAGTGTCTCTCCTCCTTCCAGTTGATCTGCAAGAACCATTTTAAACATAACAGATTGAGCTATGTTGTAGTACTTCGAACAGTATGTACGCCAACGAGCTGTTTTCAAACAAGCCATGTTTGCCCACAAGTGTAGGCCCAGTGAATGCGCAGAAACCAGATTCGCGCAAGTTGAAACGTCTGTGCATGCAGTGTGCCGACAGTAGCGCCACCGCAATGGTGCAATGTCATAGCCACGCTTTGGTCTATAAAAGGTATCACCTTTCGCTCAGTGAAATAAACACCCTGTATAGAATAAAAGTCACGTAACATGTTTACACAGCAGATGTATTAGTACAGGCCATGCAAAGTGATGTGATCGGTCCGAGTCATTTTGGAGCAGCTCTTGAACCAGTCGAAAGTCCATTTAGGAGCATGACAGCCAATTTCATTGGCATTCATACCACCACAAATATTATGTTAAAATTTATGTGTCAGCCTGTCTGACTGAAGGGCAACGTCTACTCTGCCTTATCACTTACGCGCAACCCTTCGTTAGCATCAATTGCACAGCAGGAGTGATTCCCTCAAACACAAAACTAGCTGTTTAGTTGCGTAAACAAGCACCAGACACGGTAACAAGATGACTGATGAAGGACAGCACAAACTGTTGTGAATAATCATTTCAGGTACGGGATCTCACTGAAATAATGTTAGAATACAATAATTTTGAGCACCTAACTTAACCTTTCCTGCAAGTTCTAGAGGTTGTAATAAACTGAAATTTATAAGTCAGATAATAAACAAAACATTTATAATTTAATATGAAATATCAATATGCCTCCTCAAAAAATCCTGCCAAAATCCTTCCCAAGCTTCCATCCACTGCTCCTGTTCATTTAGTTTGAATTTACAACACTTATATAAAAGTGATTACTAAATAAAGGAAACAGCAGAAAAAATAAGCCTACAAAAGAGCTCATATAAATATTCTTGCAATACCAAAGTATCCTTGCTAAAGTTTGAACTGGAAAGAGGTACCGCCAGAATATCGCAGTTTATCATACAAGCCAAAATGTATTCGGAAATTTTATCGTGTTTCGTTCTGGAGAAGCTTTTCCCTGGCGGGTGCGCTGTGGCGAAGCAAGACGCGCAAAATTGCGATGCCTACTCCACGGTTGTCACTTCTCTGCAGTACACAAGGGCACGGTGAGAAGCTCACTCAACAAAACCAACTAACCCTCCAAAACATAACAGCCTTTGATATGAAATACAATCGAATAGTATGTTGAGGCGAATACTTCGAAGAATAAAACATCAAGGACGAGGATGGAAACAGGACTTCTTGAAAGAGGTCCAGTTTCCATCATAGTCCTTGATGTTTTATTCTTTCAAGTATTTGTATCGAGTCAACAACACACTCGTTTCAATTATTATGTTGAGGCAATAACCAGAAGTTCCGAAAACTCGCGTAAGTATAGTGCAACAATCTGGCCGGCTAACGAGGCCTGAGCTAATATATTTCCAGTATTATTAAAGTGAAATTAAATTTTGGTGCTATGCTGGAACCAATACCTCACATTTTGCTAAAATGTTGCACAAAGTAGCAGGGTAAGCACTTTGGTGCAAATGGCACAGCAATCACATCATTGCATGCAGTTCACTCATCTTCCAAATGATGAAACCAGATCCATAACCTCTGGTTTTATAAAACTTCATGAGTTTACACACAAAATAAAGGGAGGAACATGTGTGGCACATCAGCAAAGGACTGTGGGTCAACTCAGACCTCTAGAGACTCACGTTCAAATGTGACGCTGCACCTACATTAAGTTCCATCAGAATGTGAGCATGTCATGTCGGCCAGGATTTGAACCTACCAACTGGACACCTGAAAGCCTGCATGTCTTTGATTTCTACTTTTAAAGCATAATGCAATTTGACAGAAGCGAAGTTGAGATTTGTGTTACATCGCCATACTGTGCAGTCACCAGTGAAATTTAGGAGGCTAGGGTCCCTCTAAATTTATTTCGATGCATGTCACACGACACGCACCAGGCCACACCATGATGCCCTGTGACTCACGGTGCAAGGTTGTGGCGTCAAAACAGTGTTAACGATGTCAATAGATCTAATTATGTAGTGTCAAGTCATGGTGTACTGTGACCATCTCGCATGACATGAGTTTATGCACCCCCACTTCTTGATACCATTACGCCAAGTGATGTCCTGCTACCCAGATTTGCGTAGCCATCACTAATGCATTCTGCATACAAGTCGTTTGGGCGTTAGATCAAAGGACCGCCAAATATTTTTGAAAAGCGAACCTGTTGGTTTTAATGGCATTTCTCAATTACCCCTGTTAGACGAGAGACTAGAGCAGCAACAGGTAAATGTGACAAAACTAGACCAGTAGACTTACCATAGGTTGCATTGTTGATCTCTTCTCTGTTCGTGGTGCAAATGACAAAAGTCTCACTTTGTGATATGCCATATTGCTGGAAAAAAAAAATGGAACGGTGATCGTTATTAGTGTTCAAAGCGTGCACTCCTGACGTTCGCACGAACCATGTCACAAAACCGATGTAAGTTTAGCACAGTTCAACCTAATTCCACTTCCTTGAACAAGACTTCCTTGAACAAGATTTGTTCGTGGAAATGTCTTCAGGCGCAAAACGATCTTATCAGGTGTGATGTACTGCCGCTGGTTTCTGCATAGCAAGTTAGTACTGCAGCGACCAAGCGCTTTAACAGTGCGTGAGGGACTAAATTTAGCGAACTGCCTCACAAACAAACAAAACGCACGTGCAATGAATAGCAATGCAACGGGTACGCCGTCACGGCGTCAAATCAAGACGATTGGCGCCCAAACCTTTCCAGCGAAGCTATGAACCGTTGCTCTCGTAACATTGGGCACTAAAGCTTCGGATTAAGGTAGTGGCGTGCACGAAACCGGCCCAACGTGGCAATTTCTGCGAGTGGGGCCTACAAGTGCCGAAAAAAAGCGGCCAACTTGTAAGCCTAGCTACCGGCTCTCTCCGCCCGCATACAAGCGAAATTATCGGGCTCATACGCGAGCTGCATTGTACAGCTTGCGGATTATATTACCTATTACGTACACTTGAGCTTAATACGCTTTTTTGTTTTCCACCGCAACGGGCTCACAACCGGGCGAAATGATCCCACGGTATCAAGACACGGGCCGGACCGCCGGGACAATCGCACGCGACAAACGGAGCACGATAAACGAAGAAAGCAGTTTAAAGCTCGAAAAAATTACCTTCATCACGCGTGCTCTCAGGTCCAGGTAGTTGTCCCTTTGTCCCACGGGAATTGCCAGCGCCGGGGCATTGCTTTTCCGACGGTCGTAAACAAAAAACTGTTTATTCGCCGCGGCCATATTGTTTTCGGCAGCAAACGGCAGCGGCGGTAGCTGTCCCACCGCCGAGAGAAGCGACGAAAAGCGGCACGGTACCGCTCAAGCGTCCCTTGGTGTCGATGATACGCGCGATCGGAGCAGACTTCTCATTTCGCGATCGGCTAAAAAATCGTGAAAAACGGGGCTTCGGCGGCTGCGTCAGTTTCAAATGTTTACGGGATGTCAGCGAACAAGCGCCATCTGAGGACGATTTCCCTGAATGTTCGAAAACAGTTCGATGGAGGGATGAACGACTGCTGCGGCCGCTAGATGGCACACGCGCATGCGCAACAAAGACAAAATCAACAAAAAACAGACCGCAACAGAACTCGTAAAGCAAGTGGAGGGAGTACAAAAGTATTTCTGAAAAGTACAAAAGGCAAAGTGAGTGAGGATCGAACGAAGGCGCGAAACGTCGAAACCACAACAGCTACACAATCGGATGTCCTACGGCGTGGCGCAAGTGTAAATGCGCCTGTAGGGGGTGGGGTGGCCGATGCCGACGATTCAAAGCGATTGTGTGAACTCCGAAGATCGAAGTTAACTGTTGGGCTAGTTGGATATCCATCGCGAAAATAAGTAGCTCAAAGGAAGAGAACACTTCGAAGGTATTCTGGGGTCAGAAAATTCACCCGAAATGTTTGCTCCGTTTCTGTTAAAACTTCAACAAAAAACAAAAGTATACTTATATAATTAAGATGCAATTTTTATATATATATATATATATATTTTTTTTGTGTGTGCGTGCGTGCGTGCAAACGCGCGCGCGTCTGTGTGTGTGTGTGTGTGTGTGTGTGTTTATATTGCGTAATTGTAGAATTTGCGTTGCGTTAAATATAATAATCGCTGCAACTTATGTTTAGATTGGGTGTAGGAAAAAATATCCTCGGAAACGATCTCCCCGGAAAAAAAAAGCCCCAGGTGGAAAGTAGGAAAAAATGCCCTCAAAAGGATTCTCTATCTCTAGATTTACCTGATCCTCATGGCCTTCGGGCGGTCCGGTCATATGTCCTCGGGAGAAAAGGCACCCTGTGGCAAGTACGAAAACACGGCCCCTAAAAATAAGGAAACATACGATTCCCCGAGGCACACATCGCGACACTGTTAGCGCGAACACGACATCGGCACTGCCCATATTATATCCCCAAATTAGCACTTCCAATAAACCTATAATAACTTTGATGACAACCTTTCGTTTCTATGAAAGGAAAAAAAAAAAACAAAAAAACTAGCGATCGCTTGTTGGTATTAACAGTGTCGCTCTTTTTACCTATATGGAAATGGTACAGAAGTACCTCCTCAAATTTCCCCAAACACAATAATTTGGTCTTGGTTAGAAGTGTAACAATTGTTTATCTCACAATGGAAAAAAAAAAATAAAGAGACAGTTGAGATGCAATGCTACAAAGTGAGGAATGAAATGACGCACTCTAGATTCATACACAAAATTCAAAAGCGGATCGTGCGGCCGACGGCACAATTAATAAGTGAGAGAAAAATAATAAAAATGATGTGCCTCTCTACCTGCACCACCAAACGGTTTAGCAGGTTTAAGCCAATAAAAAAAAAGGGGGGGGGGGGGGTTCATAGTCTGACCAAATTAAAGTGAATTTCAAGAATTTCAGTACAGACCTTGAAAATAACAGGGGAGACAGCGAAACCCTGGGTAGGGAACTAACTTGGAAAAAGAGCAGCGGGCATTTATTTATTTATTTATTTATTTATTTATTTATTTATTTATTTATTTATTTATTTATTTATTTTACTTTTTTGTAGTTTTCTTTGTTATAATATTTCTATATTTTCTATGCTCCCCAGGTCTCCTGTCTCGTGGGCCTGGGAAGAACGACGAGGAGTTTCAACTTGTTATTGTTTACTTAGGAAGAAGAAAATATAATACAAAAGAATGTGAATATTGATTACAAAGATATTGATATAGGTGTATTTACATGTGAGAGTTTGATTAATTTCAAGTGAAATTTTTTTTCCCTTGAGCAGTTGGTATTAGGGTTGAGGTTTTAAGAGTATGTATATATACATACATATATATATACATATACATACATACGTACACACACATATACACACATATATATATATATACATAAATATATACATAAAGTTTTATCTAATTATGTTTCCTTTTTCTCCGCCATTCTTGTGGCATGGTTATATATATATATATTTTTTTTTTTTTTTTACCTTCTGTTTTTAAGACCCTCAGAGGGCTGTGTGCAGACATACTGCCCTTCAAGGGTGGGATGAATTTAACCATCAGAGGGGTCAGGTATATGTTTGTCTCTGTGTTTTGGTCCGAGGATTGTGTAATGGTCCATGATCTGATTTTTGATTGGTATTGAAGAGGAATTTATTGGGGCTATGGTGAGATCAAGAAAAACTTTTCTGTTGGTATTTCTATTGGCAAAGTTGTTTCAAGCTTATGAACTACGGCTTTGATGGTATGAGGTGCGAAGCTTTATGAGAATGGAAAACGAGATGGTGTGCTGTTAAGATGCATATGTAGAAAGGCTTTTTTTTTTTTTTTTTTGACGTGTACTATTTTGAAGATGCATAAGAGATCCTTGAGTTGTTTTTTTTTTTTTTTTTTATAGACAGTTTTTTTATATATTTGAAGTGGAGATTAAAGGTTTTTAGATTTAATCTTTCAAACCACAATGAAGCTATAATTTTAGCTATATTTTAAATCTATAATTAATCTAGATTTCCTTTTTTTACATGTTTTTTATTTACATTATTTACATTATATTACATAGCAACTTGAAAATTTTAATGTGTGAAAGTTTAGTTTTTATCTATAAATTTCATTGGAGTTTTTTTTTCTTTCATTTGGATTATTGGGATGTAATTGGAGAATAAAAGTTATTATAATATGGGAAACAAACAGAGTTATACATGTTGCTATTTATATTTTTGTTTTGTCTATATATATATAATACAACTTACCACCATTCTTTTAACTTGCATGAAAATTGTGATTCTTGGCAGAGCCACGTGATGCGACATCCTAAAGGAACACCACTGTAAGGTCCGTATACTTTGCATCTTATTTGACCCTTCGGTGAGGGACTTTCGTTATAAGATTACCAACTACGATTTCGAGTTGAGGATACTCCATTTTGAAGAGTTGGTATAAGCTAATGAGAGGCCCGGAATTAATGCTGGATCCCCCTAACGCTAAAGTGGGGTCTACTCTCATTCCTTGAAAATGTCCAGTCATTCGGTTGCATCGCTGTTTGTCATTGCATTTGTTACCGGGAATTAGAGTTCCTCCTTTATGAGTAGTTGGTGTAAGCTGATGAGAATCCCGGAACCCTGGAACCAGTCCAGGATCCCCCTAACGCTTAAGTGGGGTCTTCTCTTATTCTTTGGCAATTCATTTGTGTATTGTAGAAGCTAAGAAGGAAGCCCGGAGCTAGGCACTGGTCCAAAGCTCCCCTAACCAAAAGCGGGTCTTCCTATTGCCTTGATCTTGCACATTTAGTATAGACTGTTGGTTTCAGTGCTCATTTGTCCAAGGATGATGTGGCTAGTAGTTTTCAATAATCATGCAATGTTTAACTTTAATTCATTGTTTCTTTTGTAAGCCAGGTTTGTCTAATACTTTTGATACTTAAGGGTTTTATTTTTTTTTTACTTCTAAGTTCCATTTGTTTTCTTTTTTTATGGTATTAAGTTTCCTATGTGTTTAACTATATTACTAAGGGTATTAATTTTATTGGTGGATCTTAATATGCTAAGTTGTTTGTGAGTAGTTAAGTTGTTACTATTTAATTCTTGAACATAAGTTTGTGTATGGGGACATTCTCTGAGGTAGTCTTCTATACTTAAACACTGTTGCCCGCAAGGGCATGTGGAGTGGTTTGTAATATTAAATCTAAATAAAATAAATAAAATGGGAAACGTCCATGTGCCGTTAGAATCCGAGTAAGAAAATAGGAGGGGGGAAGCTGGAAGGAATCAGCTTTACGGAAGGAACCCATTTAAACAATTCAGTGACCTGACCGCCGTCTTTCCAATCTCTATCCCATCTTTCTCGTGCTAAGCTAGTCAAGCTATGCTTTATATTTTGTTTTGATCTAGTGAGTGGCTCAAGCACTCCAACCCTACGTGCGGAATTTGCAAATTGATCGGCGAGATCATTACCAAGTATTCCGCTGTGGCTTTTAACATGGTAAAAGGTGAGTGAGGTATATGTGAGTATAGACTGAGTTAGTTCTTTAATTTTGTTTATTATAGGAAGTTCGTTATTAGCATTGGCGAGTGCTTGTAAGACTGAAAGGCTATCTGTTGTTACTGCAAGTTGGTGTTGGTCTGTTATGGTTTTAAAATATTCTAACCCTTTTATAATGGCTAATGCCTCTGCATCAAAGATAGTGTTATGTTTGAGTAGGCAAAATTTACCTATTTTAAGTATTACTCCATTTGATTTCATAATTACACACGCCGCTCCAATTCCTGCTGTTGGTAGACTGAGCTGCCAGTAAAGAGTGATAATGTGTTATTTAAAAATGGAGGTGACTTCTGATCATATTTTTGATAGGTGATGTTGAACCTTTCCGTTGGGTGCATTAACCGAAGATCTATATCAGGGGTCTCAAACACGCGGCCCGCGACTCGCTGGGACGCGGCCCGCAGGCTACCGGGTACGAGTCCCGGTTCCCATGTCCCGAGCGCTAGAAATGGCATGCGCCATAGTGACCTCATCTCGTCGATTCATTTTCGCTCGAAAAGTAGCATCTGCTCTTTTCACCTATTCACATCTGTGAATAGGTGATCAGTGATGTTTTGCCCTTTGTTTCGCTTTATTTTTGGCTTCCCAGCTTTTTGTAATGCACAACAGTTCCGCTACTGAGCCGCGAGCGTGAGCTATTCGTTGAAGGATGCATCTCGGGCTACGCTAACTCTCGATCAGCACGAGCAACTGCCAAAGATAAAGAAAGCTACGAGCTCGTTATTCTCGCCTTCAAAAAAAATATCCCCATTAAAAGACAAGTTTTTGTTCAGAACGTTGTAATAGAAATCGTCAGGAAAGAAAGAACTGTCAAATTAACTCTTTTTTTTTTTAGAGAGACATGTTGAGCTTGGTTAATTCGTGAGTGAATTGAGCAACAGGAACGACAGTGTACTTCCTTTCTTGTTCTATTAATAATGCTAGCACGTTGGCGGTTGCGTGTCATCTTAGTTCATGTTATCACATCTGGCTAG